GTATCTCGGTATACGTCTGCTTTAGAATACATCCAATTTGGAATACGTCCTGTTTGGACGAAACAAAGTTTGCTCAGTATACGACTTTTGTTCGGAATACAACTTAATTCAATTATACGTGCCATCTATAACAAGTAGCACTATCGGTGTAATAGACCATACTAGACATTTGCTGTGCCACGGTTTATAACTTTGTTAAATTTCTTCTAATTTTAATTTGTACGTAAAATTTTATTATTTTTATTAATTATGAATCACAAAAAGGCAAATGAAAAGCAACAGAAAACTAAAAAATTGACTAGAATCACAATGGAACTGAAAAAAGAGATTGTTGAGAAATATGAAGGTGGTATGTGTGTTTGAGATTTAACTGTTGCATACCGTATTCCGAGAACGACGATACCGACAGTTGTGAAAAATAAAGACATTATTATACTTCAAATAAACAACTATCCACCATAACCAGTAACCGGCGTGGAATTCTTTAAAATCAGCAAACGTTTTCGATTCCTTTCCTGGGATCTTCAGGCTTACTTTTTTTATACCTTTCGTTATAATTGGATTCTTTAATTCCAGTTATAATTAAAGAATCCAGTTATAACGAAAGGTATAAAAAAAGTAAGCCTGAAGAAGATCCCAGGAGGGGAATCGAAAACATTTGCCGATTTTAAAGAATTTTGCGCCGGTTACTGGTTATTGTGGATAGTTGTTTATATGAAGTATATACAACCCGGTGTGGTGAGAAAGCACATTAATAAAGACATTATTAAATCTGCTAATGTTACAAAAGAGGTTAAATCAATTTCTAAACAGAAATCGAAGACATTAGATCATTTTGAGAAATTGCTTTTGCTTTGGATAACTGAAAAACTGTGCTGGCGACAGTGTATCAGAAGCAATTATTTGCAAGAAAGCTAAAAAGATACATGCTGATCTCATGAAAAATCAAGCAGGAACTAGCTAGGAAAGCGCGAGGTGTTTAAAGCCAACCATTTTTTTTACATGAGAATGGATTAATCATTTTTACATTACTTCTTATGGGAAATGTTGGTTTAGTGTACATCCTATTTGGTATAAGTCCAAACACCAGGAATGGATCAAGGTCATATACCGAGGTTCCACTGTAATTGGAAACTTAAACTTTCATTAAAAAAATAATTATGTTTTGCAAATGGTACTCATTTAAATATTTAAATGAGTACTATTTAAATGTTTAAATGAGTACCATACTAAAAATATTTCTTTTTAGTATGGTACTCATTTAAACATTTCTATTGAAAATATGTGATGATTTAACAATGCAGATATTTCTTGATAATAGAGTTTGTAAATTAATATACAGTACAGTAGAATTCTGTTTATTATAATTGTTTTGCGACTTGTTTATCAATCAGTTATGATCAATATAGATGTTATGAGAGGTAAGAAAATAAGACTATAATTAGTGGAAATTCAGGTTTTATTGATTTTGACATAAAAATGATATTTTAAAACAATTACAAAAATGTATAATTAGAAGAATAAATTATTAAGTACAGTGGACCTCTGTTACTTTATAATTTTTACTTAATATTATTTAATTTTGCAGTTGTTAATAAGTCCAAAATTAAATAACATTAAGTAAAAATTATAAAATATACCTTACATAACAAATAAATTAGTTAATTGATGCAGATACCTATTCTTTTTAATAAAAGAAAGGCCACTATAGTGCTATGCATAAAAATACAGTAATAACAATTAAAATATTAACAATACAGAATAATAAATGAAATTAATAAAATAAAAATGTAAAAATTACACAAAATAAGCAATTTATTCATGATATTGTCTTGGTCTGAAAGAAACTGCTTTTCTCACCTCTGCCAAGATTTATTTTTTGATTCATTGCCAGAAGTGAGAAATTTTTAAAATCACTGTAAAATATAAAATATCCCACAAATAAGTCCTAAATCATAATTGCAAAGTTTTACCTGCTAAATTCAAAACACCCAAATTTAGGATTAATTAAAACCATAATTTAACAACACTGTAAGAAAATTATTAATCCAGTTACACCTAACATTTGCTGGTCATATTCACAGTTGTATCAAGGCATCATGCTACAGAATTTTTAATTAATGTTATATACCAGGGGTGGGCAAGCAAAAGTTCAGTGGGAGCCGAAATGTGGATTTTGCAAAATGCATGGGAGCTGCAGTTCTGTACTTTTTTTAATTCTGTATCGCAGTTCTGTACCGCAATTTTATTATATAATATAAATATAATATAAAACAAATATTGAATTTTTTTCATAAACATATTTTCACAAAATTGTGAAAATAATAAAAAGCAGAAATTAACACTTTCAGCAAGAGCCACATTTGCACATGTTTGATATATACAGTAGAGCATCAATTATCTGAATACCGATCAACCAAAACATCAGTTAACTGAAAGCATTCCAATCAGNATACTTTTATAAGATAAACTACAGATCAAATCTAACTCGATAAGAGTTAAGCAACCAGCTGTCTTTGGTATAAATTACCAACCGGGAGTCAAAAACAGTCGGTTGACAATGCTATTAATAGACGCACCAATTTATATACATATATGCAACATATATTTTCTAGCAGAGTTGCACTTCTTGATTTATTCTACTAGTTATTGGGGGAGAACTATAGAATTATTATATTATTTTCAGAACAGAATCTAAAATATCAAATACCTAGAATGAAATGGGAAGTTATGTTACAGTCCATTTAATTCTATTAAAAAATTCAAAAATATTTGAAAACTTTATTATAAATTTCAAAACACGGCGCACACAAACTGGAACTGTAAATGGCGAGACTGCCTTTTGCATAAGGTCTTTGAACAACATGACGTACGATTGTTGGAAGCCTTTTGTTGCTTGTTGTTGTTTGCTGGAAATTGCATTTAGGTGTTATTTATTAGAACATTATAAATTTCAGTCAATCATTCACTAACATTTGAAAACAAATATTTCACAAAAGAAACCATTAAATGTTTGAGTTATATAGGGTGTCTGAAAAGTTACTGGTCAGTGAGAAGTTTATAACAATGTTAAAGCTATACGTATGGCATCGCCATAAGTTGCGCATCCCATGTTTCCACTCTGCTGTATTACCACTCACTCACAGACATTCCAGTATTTGAAAGATTTCTTTGCCGATACTGAGCCATATTCCGCAGAAGATTACACAAGGTTTCTGAATCACTGCCTTGATTTTAGGGCCTCTAGGAGACACTTCTGGCATTTCCTATAGTAGAAACTGCAATATCATATGTAAAACTTAACTTTAAACCTTTTCCACTGCAAAGTAACTTTTCAGACACACCCTATACATATATAATTTTGTGATTTTGAACACCATTGCATTATTTAATTGGGCTATTGTAATGCCATAATTAATAATTAAAAACTAAGTAATTTGGTACTAGAAGTAGATTGGCAAGTGCACCACATGGTAAGCAGAGGCTGCAGGTTTAAGTCCTGCTCCAGGCTAGTTCTTTTCTTCCAAAGTGTTCTAAATTACTGTATTATAATTATTAATTTAGATAACAGATGGTGCCTAACGTCCACCTCTAGTACCAAATTACTTACATCTAATCATTAATAATAGTGGATTTATAGCCTGATTGATTATAGCAATTGTATGGTTGTGTAGTATTTAAAGAAATGAAATGTACACACAAAATAATTTTATATTAAAATAAAGTAACAATATGTAAAAAACGTTTGTCTTTCAATTCAAAATGCATATTCTTTTCAAAAATTACTACAGAGAATTTGACATTAGTTTGTCTTTAACTTTTTAATATCAAGAGTCAAAACAACAAAGATAAATGCTGACATATATAAATACATAGGTAGTAAATAAATAAGATATATATCTAATTAATATAAAATATTTAAACTTAGCTGAATTAAGCTGTAAAATGATTACTTGTCAGAATTAATAATTAATAATAAAATCAATTAAAATCCTAATTTTTAAAAAATAATTCTAATGCTTATATAAATTATAATTATTTTAAAAAATATATACTTTTACTTACTTTACTTGTTGATTAAAATTTAGATATCCTATTTTATACTTTTTAATATAAATGCTAGTTTGTGAGAGTTGATTTGTTTGTGACAGTAATAGAAATTTGATTCTAAAAATTTACAGTAACATATACATGCAATATATGATATCAAATTTCTTTTGTTATTGTGATAAACTAATAAAAACTCAGTTTTATAATTAATAAATAATATAAGAATTATTTTTAATTGTTAAAAACAATAATTCAAAAAAGTTTTCATTTAATTCCTGAATACAGTTAAATATTTCTGTTAACAGTAAAGGAGGACTTCAAAGGAGTAAAGGAGGATGTCAATAAAGATTGATTTATTTATTTTAATGAGAAATTATTTAATATATATTAGCATACATTACGATATTTAGGCATTAATTTGTGCATTATAAAATTATTTGTAGAATTCAGACAGCTGGCCTTGGTGGAATGAAACACAATACAGTAATTCTTGGTTGGCCTTATGGATGGAGACAATCACCCTACGAAAAATCTTGGAAAGTGTTTCTTGGTAAAAATTTTTTAATCTTATAATTTATAGTCACTTACTCATTTTCTAACTACTATTAAATATTCTTAAGTTTCTTCTTAAGAATATAAGTTTTATATTCTTTACTAATGCTGAGTATCCACATGAGTAATTTCACTACACCAGTCATGTAATCATGTGACTTCTGCACAGTTCATATCACCAATATCCACTACACTTCATTCTTATGCTATCTAGTAGAAAGAAGAATAAATCAAAGATAAATGACAACAACACAACCATCTTAGTGACATACTTGTTCTTTGTAGAAGTAGATTTATTATTTTAATTTTTCATATCTGTAATAAAAAAAATAGAAAGTATAATTAGATGGCCAAGTGGTTAGGATGTCAGCTTATTGCTCTGGGAAACCTGGGAATGAATTTGGAGGGTCTAAAAACCTCGAATTTTTAGGGGTGGTCTGTGTCGAATATGTCAGGCCTGTCCCCCCCACCCATTTGCCTCTTGGACATTCAGCCAGGTCCACCCATTTGTGGACCTGACTGAAACTTTAACATGCCAATAAAAAGATCTTCTTGATGTCCACAAACAAACACAGATAAAAAAAAAAGTCTTTTATCAAAAATATCAAGAAAATTGCAAACTGTTTTATTAATTTCTGTTTTTGCATCCACCTAGTTACGTTATAGAAAATGACATCAAACCATCTGATGACATGTATTCCTTACTGAATGGTTGCATCTGATTTGTGTGATGAAAAATGTTCATCCAGCTTTAGCATCTTTATTGTTTCTAATTGTGAAATTTTGACTCTCATTTTTTTATAGATCACACACACACAATGTCAAAAACATTTAAATTGCAGAACAACATTATTCATATGGATATCAAGATTAATATAACCAGCACATTATTTCTTAACTTCATTTAATGAACTAAATTAAAAAGGCATTTAATTTATTAATACACTCAGATTTTTGTATAATGAAGTTCTGTATTATGAGTTTTTTTTTGTGAAATGTTGAAAATGTCATTTTATATTTAAAAATTTTCCTATTTCAGGAAGTTTAATTTCTACGTCAAACTTTTATAAGCTGAAAGAATAAAATAAAAAAACAATTGTTTTTCATATTTGCTAAATATTTTGACTTTGTTATGAGTATCTGTACTCTCATAACAAAGTCAAAATATATCTGTATTCAAGAATAGTTTCAAATAACAATTGTTTTGATAATTCAAACCTAAGAAAACCTCCCTATGAAAGTCTTTATCATCTAAAGTTAGAATTATTCATTGAAACAAGCAACTTTTGTTAAAATATACAAGTAAAGATTACTGATTAATTTTTAATATAAATATGTAAGAGTACTTATTATTTCAATTGTAATACTTCTCAATTTCAATAGATACTATACATGAAAAAAATCAGGTCATACATAAGATTTTTTTGCTATTAATATAAATACAAGGATATTTTTGTAAGAATAAAACGTTATTCAGAACACTGTTTTCTTTTTTCACTATTGTTATTTTCTACTTAATGAATTCTCTGCCTTTCCTGGAGGTACAGTACTTTCTTCCATGGAAGTTTAACTGTGTTTAATTTTCCACCATTCAATATTTATTGACTGTGAATTTAGTAATATAAATAAAAACACAATATAAAATATATTTTATTATGTTACATATTTAAATATTAATAAATTATATTTTTTTTATAGATTCTGTAAGAGAAGTTACTGCAAGTAAAAATGCCTTATTAGTGCCTAAAGGTATTGATCAATTTCCAGAAAGCACACAGAAATTAAGTGGAAACATTGATATTTGGTGGATTGTTCATATCCTTGGGATTAAAATTAAAATAGTTTATAGTATACTTTCTATAATTTTTGTAATTTTTTGATCGTTAATAGTAAATTATTTTGAAGTCATACAATGTATGCAATACAATTATTATAATTCAAAAATCTAATAATAGCCTGTATAACAGTGAGCATTGGTTTAGATATTCTATGATAAATACACCCATTGAAAAAAAGTTACACCAAGGACACATTGAAATTGAAGGAAACCTTATCAGTGTGAACATAATGACAGTGATAATAAGTGATTACAATGTCATGGCAATTGTCCCTTTGTTGCAACACCTTGCCATGGTCAGGTCAGAATGGTCCAGATAAAGATGCCAGGCAATTCAACAAAACAGCATCCTGCTTCCCTCAGCTCAATGATGTGGCCTTTCTCAAACTTTCAGCTGTGTGGAATGGCTTTAACTGCATTGTACATGCATTCCTGGCATTCTAAGATTTCCAAACAACAGGTACACTGAAAATTCTTAACACAGTGAACCTCTCTGTGAGCCTTTTCATAGTGTTGGAGTAGTAGTTTTAAGGCATTCTGGTGATATTATCCGGTTGGACTACAATAATTTACATATTGTATAGTTGTACGCCAAGTTTTGCAGACAGTTCTATCTGGGTGTTTAGCATTTCTTTTGTCTATTAATTCATGATAATATACTCATTATCATTTGGAAAGTAACATATAATTTTTGCCATAGGACAAGGTAGCATATACTTAAGAGTTAAGTTTAGATTACATCCAAATTGTATACATTATGCATGATCAAACACAAATAAATGTAAACACAAAGCACAAAGTTTCTTTACAGTCATAATATATAATTATTTATTTTTAAAAACCATTATAATGTAAGAAATTAATCGTTTTTTTTAATTATTACATAATCCCAGTCCACAGCTAAATAAATAAAATACATATACAGTAGAGTGTTGTTTATCCAAATCAATTGGGGACTGGGGTTGTTCGGATAACTTATTTTTCAGATAACCGATTATGTACGAAAAAATTTATTAACCTAGCCCATGTTGAAATTTTTCTCCGTTCCGTGTTGCTTTGCGTTGAATTTTCGTCGATGTTAAGCCTAACATAAACTTTTTAAAATAACAATCGTGCTATTGTATCATTAAAAATTATTTATTTTTTACAAACAAAATAAATATATTGAAAAATATAAAAACCAAAAAAAAATATATACTTTAGAAGTTGATCTAGTATCAAAAACGTTCGATTCAACACCACACACAGGCCTCAGAAAAACACCACACAAAAGTGCCAGTGCTGTCAGCTAAAACACACAAACCAACAAAAAAAATATTGGAGTAGCCAAAGATATAGCCAAAGATTGCAGCGCCACAGCACTAGTGAAAATTTAAATTTGCCGACTGGAATGCTTTCGGTTAACCGATGTTTCGGATAAACGACGCTCTACTGTATCATCATTTTTAAATTGCTCCATTTTTTTGTTTTAAAACAAAATTGAACAAAAAGTACTAAAAAGGAATGGAGCTTTCATGCATAGGAGATCAGAATTAGAAATGAGGACATCACTAATTTTATAGTAACACTAGAAATTCTCCCATCAAGCATGACAGAATACTTTTTATGAGAAAGTAGAGATTGAAAAATTGAGAAGAGTAGAGATATCAAGAAATTCGAGATGTTAGTATAAACTACTTAATTTGTAGAAATATTGTCTATTGTACCATAAAGACCAACAAAAGAAAATTTCATCTGGAGTGGACAAAACTAGTAGGAGTTATAGAGAATTTGCTTACACACACACAGACAGAGATTTAGGCCTTTAAAATAATAATAAAATCTTTCTTTATAAAATTACTTTATACACTACATTCTGAGTAAACACACTATTGTCTTTTAAAAGATTTCCTTGCTGTCTTCCTTTAGTAATAGACACCTTAATATTGTTTTGATGATTAACATTGTGATCATGTTTCTGCAGCCATTTCTTAATTCCACATTGATAAAACATAGCTAAATTGTATGTACATTAGTTAGATGAGCAATAACACTTTATAAACAATGGGGTCGTTAGATTGTTACTTTCAATTGGATAATAGAATGCCATGTGGTCACCATGAAAATTTTTTTTTTAATTTGTTATAGAAGTGACATGATGAGGTTTATCTTTTTAAACTTTAAATTTAATGAAGTATGTTTAAATACACCATTTGCCAAAATATTTAAAAATGCAATTTAAGGGAAATTCCCTCGTTGAGCATGAATGTCACTGCAACATAAATGTGATCACTAATCCAAAATCGATAAAACGTTTATTCTATAGCTATATTTTCACAAAATAAGTAGCTTATACTTTCCATCAGAACATAAAACAAATAGAACTTAAAATTTCATCTGGATTGGACAAAAATTGCAGTTATAAGGAATTCACATGCGCACACGCACATAGACAACAGCTTTTATATTAGTAATTTCATGCTTTCAAAACTTAAAAAATTTTCTTTTTATCTATATGTAGTTAAAAAATATAATGTATGAGTTTAATTTTTAAGAACATTATTTTTCTTTTTATCTAAATATATTTTATACTATTATTTTAATGCATTTTATTAATCAAAATAACCAATATTATCCAAGAATTTAAACAAAATTATTTTTAATCCCTAAATATGCTTTATTCTTCAGATTGTTATTACCATCAATTTCTTGCATAATAATAATTATTAATATTAACAAACGATGAATTTAAATATTTCCTTGACTTAGCATAAATGATGGTGGACTTTTAATGTTGCTTCCATTTTTATTGAAGCAACATAAAACCTGGAAGAATTGTAAACTTCGAATTTTTACAGTGGCACGTATCCTTTCATTAAAATGTAATTTTTTGTATATTATTTTCATTTCTTTCAATTAGATTTGAATCATAAGCAGAAGTTTCAGATGTTAAAATAAAAAAAAAAAAAAAAAAACTTTGAATTAACATAATTACAGAATTGGAAGATAACAGTATTCAAATGAAGAAAGATTTGACAACATTTTTATATCATCTTAGAATTGAAGCAGATGTTGAAGTGGTTGAAATGGTATAAATTTAATTTTTAATATATTTAAATATATATTCTGTGCACAAACATACATGCAAAATGTATATTAACAATTTAGACTTAATTTACTAATTAATATTTCCTGCTCAACATATCTTAAAAATAAACTGCCAAAGTTTAACAAAAAGATTCAAATTTCTTAATGCTTATTACTATAATTTTTAATCTCAGATATTCATAAGTACCTTAAAAACAATAGGATTTTTTCATTCTCTTTTCCTGATCTTTAGGGGACCTGTCAAAAGCAGAGGACATTGAATTTTCTGAATATTTTCCACTTTTTATTTTATATAAGAAAAATATTCCAAATTTTTAATTATAATTGATGAGACTATGTCTTATTTATAAAATTATGGTGCCGTTACGGGTGCATACCTTAGCTGTATAAGGGGGACATTTCAGGAGTTGCAATTTGGCACAGAGTATTAGGTGTCCAAATCATACGCACATAAAAAAAATCAGACTTGGTTTTTGGTCCCCTGCTACCAGTCAAAATAAAATACAAAATGGCACATCTTTCTACAAACAGGCAAGAGTGCAAGATTTGTGCATTCATATATCATTGGGAAGTTGGAAATGTGAACATTGCAAATCGAATTTTGACAAATGAATCTTTGAAAAAACCCATTTACCTCTCTGGTCACTATCTGTTGACCCAAGATATCTCGTTTCAGCATCGGAATATTTTTTGAAACTACATGGCACTAGTCATTATAATTTTATATTAAAAGTAACTTCCGAAATATAAACTTTTTTTTTTTGCATTTATTTTATTTTTTTTATTTTGCACAAACAATTTCAGATGATACAATAGCCATGATTATTTTTTCAAAAATGGGAAATTTTCATTAGGCATTGACAAAAATTCAACTCGGGCAACACGCAATGGACAGAAATTTGAACATTGGATAGGTTAATTTCACCAAAAATGCCTCGTGGACGACCTCATGGTCGTGGCCAACGAAATTTGAACAATTGCATCAAGCCCCGAGTCTGAGACACAGTCTTGTCCCAAAAATCTGCCTTGCTGTTTTACTTGTTTTGAAATATTTTTTTTTTTTAAATTAATATTACATAAATTTGCTTTTATAATTAAATAACATTTGCATTAAAATGAAAACGAAAATCAGCCAAATAACAGCTACTACATTTTATGAATGTGCAAAAGTATATATGCATAAAATATTATTTGAATCTATTGTGGTATCTTCAAAGAAATACTAATAGATTTTCTTAATGAATTAAATGAAAAATTCACAATATCTAAATTATTTCTATATTGATATATAATAAATGTAATTTTAATTTTTTTTAAATTTCATTGTTAAGGCATATTTTCACCAAAGAGAGCAGTTTGATTTTACTTCGTTTGTTGATTCAATGTTTGAAAGGTCACTAACAAGATTCTGATCAGTTACAGGATTTTTATATCAATTGTAATATAGCATTATGCTTATGGGAAATTAGCAAGGACTGTGACTATTGGTTGTTATATCATGATGAGTTAGTAAATTGAAGGTCACTGTAAAGCAAGTCTATCGTATTAATGTTTTATATTCCTTTATTAGGAAACTGTATAAATATGTTGTAAATATTTATAGTTTCAAAAGAACATCTTACTTTTTGTATCATTTTATGAGTGTCTTTAATTCAGATTAAAAATAGTTCTAATTTTGTCAATAAGTATCTAGTTCTTTAAATCAACATTTGAAGTTGACTATAGTAACTTGAAACCACCAGGTAAGCAAATTAAAAGTGTACTTGCAAAGTAGCATAAGAAGATTAGGTGACATTACAAGTCATAATTAGCAATGTTACAAACCATCCCTGCTTCTGTGCTTCTAACAAGTTTTGAAACTGCAACCTTCCGTACATTGAAATGCAGAATCAATAAACTAGACAACTAGGTCGTCATTGCTTGTTATTAATGTTTACATTAGCTATGAGATTTAAATAAAGTAAAATCTGATTCCATAAAAAATTCCAAAAGAAAGGTTTGTAGAAAAAGACTTTCAGAACATTGCCTCCTCTGATAAATCTCTATAAAATAAAATAAATTTCATTAATTAAAAAGTGGCATTGGTGATTCTCAAACTTTCCATGTTAATTAAATATATTGAAAGTAATAAATCCTCAAATTCAAAAGAATGTAAAACTGAATGTAAAAGCTAAGCTAAAATACTTGTGAAAATATTACTAACACTGATTGTATTTTTCTTTAATATTTTAGATGGATAGTGACATATCAGCATATACTTATGAAAGAACTCTTATGATGGAACAACGTATCGAAATGCTGAAACATATAAGAGTAAATCGCAAGGATTCGCTAAATGTCGTTAGTATCATTATAATATTTTTTCCCATGAGATAATTTAACCATATTCATTTGTTGTCATTAATATTGCTATTATTAGCTCCAATCTATTGTCGATCATCATTTTGTTCAATCTCAAAGTCAAAGAAATCCTAAAGTGAGATTTATAGAAACACCACAAGAAGAAGAAGAAGATTTGTCGGAAGTGAGCTGTGATAAGCCTGAAGAAGAAGGAAGAAGTTCTACGGAGAGAAATTCTCCAGAAAACTCATCAAAACCAGCAGAAACTTGTGATCAGAATAATAAGGAAAAATTTGATGATGATGTGTTAAATATTAAGCCGTAAGTAGTAGTTTATTTCAAAATTTTTATTAAGTAGTTATAGTTCATATAAAGTTAAGACCTATATACAGTTACACTTGAAATATTCCATTCTGTTTAATGTTATAAACAGAGTGTAATTTGTTAATACCCTGTCAGTAAAGGGAACTGCTTAGTAATATTTAATAGCAGCAATAAAGAAAAGTTATACAATTTATAAACAAAATTAGAATTATAAACATAAAACAGTCTCTGAAATTCACTTCTGTGCAGTTACTAAATGTAAGGAAATATTGTATACATGTTAAACCACTAATTACTTCACATATTTTTATTATATGTAGAGCTAGGACGTCTAGGCACTATAAATCATGATTTTTAATGCCTAGATGTCCCGGCCATAATTATATGGTACAGTCTTCACATTTATACCAATTGCATAAAGAACTGTAAAATAAAATTATCTAAAACAAAAAATTTTTATGTCTGAATTGAGCAAAAACTCTTTTTAATGTCAAACATAGTCTTATCTCTGTATGTATATCAGGTCAGAAGTTAACTGAACTCTGTACCAGGGATTAAGCTTAGAATTATTCAACAAATCCTTATCTGTTAGAATATGTAAATTAAGAGCCTATCCAAACTTCCAGCCTTCTTCATTAGAATTAGTGTCAGCAAAATTCCAAAACTAGCAATTAGCTTTAACTTTGGTATCCAATTATTACAGACTGAATTGTTTGAGATAGAAACAAGCCAACAGCTGTATAAAATACTGTCTTGAGAATCCCTTATATTTTAAAAAACATTCATTTGTAATAAAAACAGATGTTAAAGCCAAAATCTATTATTGCCATGATATAAAGTATAACCTAGAACACTATGATCAACTCTGAAGAGGTTTTGTTAAATATTGTGTACTTTTTTCCAAAGTATACTAATAATCCAGACGAAACTGGACAAGCATAACATAACATTGCAAAGATGATATGTCTGAAGTTTTCAAATTAAGAAGTCAATTTATTTTTGACATTAATTGAATTAACCTAGTTATAGACATATATTGAAAATGTTGATATTCATAAGTTGACAAAGTAGTTTTTCAAGAAAAAAAATCACACTTAAATAATTAACTTATGAACATCACATGCAGATTTGCAGATAATTACAAATGGTTCCAAAACTATCAAGCACTTTGCAAGCACTGTCACCTGTCTTCCTCTGACAGTTGCTGCATAAGACACCTTGGCAGACAGGTCTCTTTCGGATTCCCAAAACAACATCCCTTGAGAATCTTCTTGACTTTGGGAAACACAAGTTGCCGGAAGCTAAATCTGGACTATAAGGTGGATGGATGATCAACTGCACTCCAGAGTCTCTCAACTAGTCTACAGTTCTCATTGCTGTAGGTGCAGTAAGAATCCACAAAGGTTTGTTTTAGGGCACTATTTGCAAATTGCTTGAAAGACTTGAGGAAGATAAATGGTGACATACCACTCAACATCAACTGCCTTCTTATCCTCAAGGACTATGGTAGCAACATGACCCTGTCTTCCAAAGAATGTTACTACCATTTTCTGACTGACACTTCTTGGACATTTGACTTTGACAGATGGTGCTTTGTCAGAGACCCAAACTGCAGATTGTCACTGGTGACAAGACCTGGATCTACCAGTATGACCCTCAAAAGCAAGAGACAATGTCCCACACATGTTTTGAGCTTTCCTGTTGAAATTTTTCTAGTATATAGTGCTACCATTCCACACAGGTTTCGTTTTGCTGTTCAGTCAGAGAATGTGTTTCAGTGGATGCCTTGTTCTCAATCTTCCTGACATAAAGATGATTGTGCAAGTTACCATTCACTGCAGCCAATCCAATACCCAAGATATCCTTATGGGATGTAAAGGGTCTTCTCTAAGCAGCTTCTTGACATGAACTGTGTTTTCAAGTCACTGAAGTTGCAGGTAGACTGCTTCTCTCCATCTTTAAGGCTGTTTCTGTTATGTCTAAATTCTCCGAACCACCAGAATACTTGCATTCTGGATGGACAAGAAACAGGAAATGCTTGCAAATGGTGGTGCACTGGGACTCTGACAAACCAGATTTAAAGTCATATAACATCACTGTTCAGAAATGCTCCCACTTCAGTTCCATTTTCAACATCCAGATTTGGTGGTGCTTCCAAAGTCAGCCGCTTCCTGCGTGCAGGAAATTTCAAGGACACCAGTATACCATTGAACTCATGTTCAGTAACATATCACAGACTGTTTTTTTCTGCATTCAATAGTTTTTGCATATCCAGAATGACCATCATAAATTTGAAAAATTCAAAAAATTATGATGATGTTGTCGAAACCGTGTTGTATTTGCTTATTGTGTACTGGCACAATGAAGTGTCACTTCATTGTGCCAGTACACAACAATCAAAAAATTATATTAAAATTTCATAAAACGTTTTATATTAATAATCTTTTAAAAAAGGCATCATTTATTGTAGCAATTTAATCTTAGCATTAAAAAAAAAAAGAGAGAGAGAGAGTGATTGATCACAAGAAGTAAGTAACATTGACCAGAAAAGTGCTAAACAGTTCTTATTAGAATGACAAAAAAAAATGTCTAATGAGAAGCACAGAGTGCATCATTACATCTCATATTAAGTCTCAAAAGTTTGAAAAAACTTTCTCAGTTTTAATTTATATTTATTTACAGAGATGAAGCAAATGTAAGACGCATGCATACTGCTGTTAAACTCAATGAAGTAATTGTTACAAAATCTCACAATGCTCAGCTAGTCATCATCAATCTTCCTGGTCTTCCTAAATCTCAGAAAATAGAAGCAAACTGTATCCTTTTCTAAGTTTTAAAAATATTCAGTAATCAAAGAATATTTTTGAATTTGATTGCAGTAAAATGGATTCTCATTATGCATAAAGTGGTTTAATTTCTTACCTTTTAAAATACTGAAATAGTAAATTATTTTTTGCATGCTTATTTTGTAAGTTTTCCAATTTACTAAGCTAAATTTAGGATTAGATATTTGACAGAGAATTAATGAAGTAATTATTAAATTTAACACTATAACATTACATTAATTCTAATTCCTATTTAATGTGTTGCATTCTTTTTAGCTATTAAAAACAACCCATTATTGCAAATTTTATTTGATTAAGCAATTTTAATTACTTATGAAATATTCTCAATTATTACATTGATATCAAATTTGGCCTCTTTTTATAATGTTTTAGACTTTAGGAATATAAAATTTGGCCTCTTCTTATAATGTTTTAGGAATGTAATAATTAGAACAATTAATACAGTGTGGAATTATTTTCCAATTTAAAAAATTATCTTTAAAATTTTATTGCTAGTTAACAGCATAAATTATGAAAATTAACTGAATATTAGAATTTTAATATTAAAACAAAAATGCATATCAATAAATTTAAAAAATTTTAATTCAGTTTCATTTTTTCTAAACTGTGTGTGTGCATGCATGTGTGTAGCATAAATACTGATTATATACAAATTATTGTGCTAATATCGTTTAATTAAATTCCAGTTAATTTGGCAATATATTCTAACTAATTCTAAAATATAATCATTTGTAACAGAAAATATAAATGAACTTTTTATGTATATTAATATAATCCTTAACATAAATCAGATATGGAATTTTTAGAGGTATTAACAGAAGGTCTAGAAAGAGTTCTAATGGTTCGAGGAGGAGGAAGAGAAGTTATAACAATTTATTCTTGAGTTAATTTTTCTGACATCCTGTTTTCCCCAAACACACAAAATATCCATGCAGTTTCATACAAACTTAAATTTTTATTAATGCTTTCAGATAATTTAATGCCTTGTTGGGCCGTACTTCCACATGAGAAGTCTAAAATTTAAAAAAATTACCTCTAGAAATATTTATATTATTGCAGAATTGAATCTCATTGTCTAGCAATTTTATTTATTTTCTTATACAAAATTGACATAAATACTTATTTGTAAATTATTTTCATATATATATTTATTGCAAGGTTTATAACTTATTTTTGGCAAATTATGCACATTTTAAATATTTTGTGAAATGCCAGATACAAGAGAAATTTTAAATTTATACTGTTTATATAAAATTGTGATTTACTGTATTGAAAATACAAGAAATTTGATAATTTATTGAAGTAAAAGAAAAATTATTCTTGGAAACATCCTTTTCAAATTAGAATTTTGTAATTACTATCACAGTTTGATAAGAATGCACTCTGAAAAACATTTTGTACTTTTGCAGAATTAAGAAATTTTGTAATTTGTTAAAGAAAAATTTTCATAAATTCTTAATATTATGTAAGAAAATTTTGACAACACTTTGATACTTAGTTTTTCTAAAACAGAAAATATTTTTGTATTTGACAATATTAAACCTCAAACTTTGAGAATTTTTAACTACTTTTGTATATAAAATAGCAATGAGTCTAATCATCTTTGTTTCCATAAATAGAAATTCAAACACTCCTGTGTAAACATAAAGAAAAAAATAATAATAATAAATGTTAATAAATAACCTTGTTGTCTTTTTTTTTATAAAAATTTAACCACTAAAACCCTGAATTGTTTTTCTGATTTTCTTTGCATCTTCTAATAACTCTCTATTATTTGGATCAATCTTTAAAGCTTCTTCATAATCTTGAAGACCTATAAATAAATAAATCTATATAAATCCTCTGTAATGACATAATTTATTAAAATCAACATACGCTATTCTATTTTTACTGATACCTTCTGCATACATCTCCATTTTACAAAAAGCTGTTCCTCTTCGGATATGACATTTCAATCTTGTGGAAGAATTTTCTTGAACTGCCGGAGTCAATAATTCTAAAGCCTTTTAAAAAAAATCATTGTTTTATAATTATAATAATAATAATAATTTTGAAGGAAATTACTCTAACTAACTCTTGAAGTATCTTCGATTGCCTTGTGCAAATTCTGAATTTGTAAGTGACAAGCTGCTCTGTTTGAATATAAACTAAAACAAAAAATTTTAAATAATAGTTTCAAAATGATTCAAAAAAAATTAATTAATTACCTAGCTAAATTTGGACACAATTTTATAGCTAAAGTATAAGTGTTTATGGCTGATTTATAATCTCCTTTGGAATAAAAATCACTGGAAATAAAAAACAAGGATTATTTTAATATTTATATCTGAAAACAAATTTTAATAATAAGTTACTTACTCTCCTTTATCTTTGAGCCAAAGAGGATTTCTCTCTTCTGGACGCAAATCAGCAAATTCCAATTCGTTGCATTTTCTAGCTTCTGCTTGTTTCCTCAACCACTGTTCATATAAAAACAATGTTTAACATTATGATTCAATATATTTTAGTAAAAACATAAATTAACCTCTTCTTCCTCTTCCTTTCTTGATTCTCTGGCAGCAGTTGGAAATTCTCGAGGTGTAAAAGTGACATTAATTGTGGCAGAAGAACGTGGTGGAGCCACCGATTCTAAAGATTCTCCTGTGGATGGACGAACTGTCAAGTGGTATTTGTTGAAAGTATTTTTCGAAGACTTTTTTGAAATCCTTTCTTTTGCTTTACTATTGATTTCCTTGTTTCTTTTCATAAACAAATATAGATAAGTTATATAAAATAATTTCTCAATACAGGTGGTCATTGACTTATGATCATAATTGGTTACGATCAAACTGGTTTACGATCAGTTCCTCATAAGTTGGCCTTTATTTTTTATGCCATTCTAATATTGTATCTCTAAATATTGTTTACTTATTTTTATTCATCATTCTTATGTGTTAAAAATTCCTGTCTTATAGGTGAAATGATGAAACTGCAGAATTTGAATGACTTGGGCAGGAAAGCATCTCAGGTTTTACTGTTGTCCCATATGGATTAAAATTTGTTTATAATATTGTCCAGTTGGTGGTACAGTTTTTAAGTACAATGGAAAATAATTTAATACTCCTTGGTTTTAAATTAAAAGTATAGTAATTGAAATTATTAAAAATACTAGTGATAAGGGCAAACATTTCTGGAGAATGAGCTGTAAGGCAAATAAAGGAGGGAAAGACTAACTGGTGGCATGCTATCATCATAACTTCATAAGAACTAGTGTAAAATTTTATACAAAACATAAACACCAATCGTCATCATAAATTATTATATGCACAGCTGGGTATAGCTTGTGGTGTCAGATATGGAAATTGCAGAATCAAGTCATCACCAGACATACTAGTCAGCAGTCACAGTTGTGGTCGTAAAGTTGATCACTCAAAAGACTTATAGGTTGTGAGTCAATGACTACCTGTATTTTATTGTTATATACTAATTAATGTAAAAAGTTACATACCAAGATTATGATGATGATGGAAACAAATGAAATTTTATTAGTGCAAATGTAATGAGGATAATAAATGATTGCAGTATCTTAGCAAAGAGAGATTTGCTGTGGAATAATGGTCAAATTTAAAAGAGCCTTTAGTATCAAATCAATCCTCCCCCCTGCCTGGATACATATTACAATACAATTGGGTACTTCATGCTATCCTGTTCAGATTTGCCCACAGATGTTGCAACTTCTACTCCAGATCCCTCACATTTTTAGATGAGTGAAGCTGGCTCCCATCTGGTTCACTAAATGCTTGATGAGTGACAAATCTGAGACTGGACAGAATCAAAAGAATATTGCAACTTGACAGAGACATTCCTGGGAAATCCTTGCTGTATACAATTGAGCATCATCATGTTGGAAAATGGCTATTTGCATCCTTACTATGAAAACTGTATGTAAACTGATGTATTGAATAATTGATATTTCTGCTGGAAGTGGCTAGAACTTATTTTGTTTATCAAACATTTTTGCTGACTGAGCAGTCATTCTTAGAATTGTACCATTAATGGATTGGAATATGGAATGCAGAATACATACAACTTTAAATTGTATGTATTCTATATTACATATTCCAATCCATTAATAATTTAATCTTGAAGACAGCTGCCCAGTCAGCCAAAAACATTTGATAAATAAAATACTTCTGCTGGAAGAGGCTAGAACCGTTGTCAGTTTTTCTGTTATAGAGAACTGTTAATTTAAGTAATTTATAAAATTATATAAGATATGAATGTTTCTAATTCATCACTTTCCAATGTGTGTTGCATCAAAGAGGCAAATTTTTCTAATGTGGACAAAGAATGATGATATGATTATCTAAGTAACAATTCGAGGATAATTATCATGAAGATACATTATACTTAATCATAGAAAATTTATTATAAAACACTGTCAATGCTAGTAACATTATGTAACTCCAATTCAAAATTAACAACACATGAAAATTCTTTAGTACTATCTGGTTGATGGCATACTAATGTATATGAATAAAATATAAAGCAAAAATACTAGACTTACTTTAAGTTAACTGATTTTTCTTTGCAATCTTCAATTTCTTTAATCATGGTATTTCTTTCATTTTCTTTAATTTTCTCTATGCGTTTTCTATCATTTGCCTCCAGCTATTAAAAAACCTGACTGTATTCTTATTATAATTCTAATTTTCATTATTTTACTTACCTCCATCTGTAATCTAACAGCCAATCTCTCTCTCTCTGATTTCTCAACTTTTTTCTGATTTTTATCACTTTTTGCAGTCTCCTCTATTTCTTGTAGAGCTTCTTTCCTCATCTTTTCACAGTGAGTTCTGTCTTCTAATGAAAAATTAGAAAACAGCACAAAATATTGTAAGATACATTTACATTAAATTTAGTCCAACAAACATGACTATACCAGGAATATCCAGCACATAATATAATTACTAAAAATAATAAAAACAAATATTTTCAATGGTTTTTAAATTGTCATCTTCAGGTTAAAAAAAAAAAAGTCAAAAATCAACATGAAAATTTGAATGTCACTTTAAAACTGCATGGAACAATTATTTCATTGGTTGAAAAAACACTGACATCAGTAATGGCAAAACCAATTATTTTTCTAAGTAATAAGATTTAATTTATAGTTGTTGTTCAAAAATAGACCTCCATGCTTTGAAGAATGTTTTGGCATTCCTGTAATTTATGCTATGACCTGAAAATTAGCTTTGTATATTTAGAGTAGATTCCTGCTATAGTTATGTGCATTAGAATTAATTAAATCCTGTGTTTATATAGTGTCATTAAATGTAGTAAAGTTAAAACAAAGTAATATTTGGAAACATATCTATTGATTTAACATAAAAATCATTTCTATACAAGTGATATCAATTGGATCTTCAAGTAATTTTTCCAAAAAATCTAACATATAAACTTATATTCATAAGATTAAGATGTTACTGTTGCAAGTTTCCATTACCATTGATTGATATCATAAAGAAATTATAGTGTAATTAACTCAAGCTGTTTAATCATCAGACATTACCAGAATTGCTCCAATTTAAAACTGACATGTCCCACATCTTGAATTTGTAACTGATTTGTCCATAATTGAGAATATCTTTTATTTAAATCTCTATTTTGATTTACAAAAATAAACTTATGCTGTTGCAAAATTCAGTTTAATATGTTATTGTGCTTAATTGAGTCAACTTAGCAACTATACCTTCTGATGACAGTGTAATAGGCTACAAGACTTTAGCCAAATTGCCAGAAGAAAGCTGTGATCAATTGTAGAGTCCATTTAAAATGTAAATTGAAATGCATGCTATAAAAGCAAGTCTCATAATCGGTCATGTTGGCTGAATTCTTGAAATAGAAGAATAATATCTATTCTGATAACAGTTGATTAATAAAAAGTGACTAATAATAAGTGGTTGAACTCCTACAGAGAAAGGTACTACTTACAACTGCTGTTATATTATATTATATAATTTTGCTGTAATTAATACATTAATATATTGTGTGGCCCTCATTTAAAGTAACTTTTTAATGACAGTATATAATTAATTATAATAAAAACAATAGGTAATTTTTATGGTAGCATTTTTTTAACTTTTACTATGTTCTGCATTAATTTTAGAAATTAATGATGGACAAAGCTGTTATTATTTTCAAATAACAATAAAAATTACTGTTATTACTGATGTACAATGACTTTGTGCATTCGTTGGCAATGGATTTAGATGATTTGTTCCTCTTAACAAGTCAGTTTAAGGGTTTTTTTGTTTATAAATCTTAATGTTAACAATAACAGAAAAACAAAAATTGATCTCCCCTTCTCACTAACCGTGCAGACTTGATTTAATCCACGATGAGCATGCTGCTTAATTCAAGCCCATCAAGTGTTTAGTGGATAAAACCACTAAACACTGTAGTTTGTGCAGTTTGTTTCATGGAGTTCTCTGAGTTTTCTTCATGTGTATAACATGTAAATAGGAGCCAGTTTTGCCATTAAAAGTCCGTCCAAGGCATCCTCCTTTTATAGATTACCCATGGTTGACCCTCCATCAACCACTGATGATTTACCAAACTATTGAATCTACTACTACTACACAACTACTAAATCTGAACTATAGAGTGATCATAATAATTATAACTATGAACACATCAAAAAATATTTACATTGAACTGAAAATTACAATAGTTATTGAGCAATGGGGCAATATTGTAAATTAATGGCATAACTTATATAATTACAGAGTATGCCAGAAATACCTGATGGGTTTAATAACAGTTCAGGGAAAGCATAAGTAATTATTGCTTTGCACAGATACACAGATTCATCCTCCATTAAAAAAAATAATGTATCACTGTTATTTCTTGAAAATAACATTTTATAAATTGCCACCATTCTGATGAACACAGAAAATTCACATTCTTGTAAATCTGGCCAAAAAAGATGCCATAACTTGCTGCAACATGTTTTCTGGAATCCTGAATGCACTAATTAATTCAATCATGATTTGTACCTCTTATACTAATTTATACGTAAAATTATTATGTACTACAAAGTTTAGTATACAAATATGTCTTGTTTAAGAAGTTCTCTGCGAGAATATTCAATAGAAGAATGAACAAAAATGCAGGACGATAATAACTAAAGAGTAGGTTTAATAAATTTTAGCCTCACCACTTGGTCGGGGACACAGATAGGAACAATCCCTAGTAAGTTTGGTCAGTTCAACAATGGTGGCGTGGCCTACCCATGATGCAGATGGGGAAAAAGTGCACACAAGGCAAAGAGGTACAAAATGAAATAATCCAATGCTGTCAAGTCTGGCAGTAGATATCTCCAAAGTGAGAAATGACTTTACCTGGAAACATTTCTTCCAGAACTAACTCTCTGTATTGTGTGGGGTCTGTGGTGGTGTTGTTTTTAGGTTTCATGTAGGTGATGCCCTGAGTAAGAAATTTTGGCATGTCTTGTGGATTGATGATGATGTGTGTTAGATGTTTAGCTAGTTCCCGGTGCAGTGATGTAAACTTTTTGTACCAGAAATTGTGAATGTTGTCTACACCAAGTGTCTTCCAGTTGTGTGTTCTGTTAACAGCGTAGCGGATGTCGTGTACGTTTATTTCAGCACAGGGCATAGGAGCAGTTGACCCATCTTGCTGGAACATAGGTGATGACAATAATGATGATTGACCTCCTGATCCAGGAATGTTTGTAACTTGGCTATGTAGCTCTAAGCAGTTACTGTAACATCCGGTCTTCATTTTTAGCAAAACATACAGATCAATAATTTAGTAAGAAAACATAGTGCACAAAACATGATGCAGTGTTATGGCATCTTTTCTTGTCAGACTATAAGAATGTGGTCATCAGAATGATGGCTATTTACAAAATTTTATTTTCAAAAAATACGTGATACACATATATATTCATTTTTTTTTTTTTAATGGAGAATGAATCTGTGAAAAGCAATAAATATTTATGCTTTTCCTTGAAGTGTTATTTTACTTTAAAAGCTATCAGATGTTTCTGGCGCACACCGTATTTTCTCGTCAAGATTGACAATCTTAATGTAATAAAATTGTGACCAAGAATAACAATTTTCTGTAGCCTGCAAGCGATTACAAAAAAATTGTCTAATAGGTTGTGGTTTCCTCAGCATTGCTCAGATAAATTACAGTAAAAAGATCGAAGGTTTGACTAATAGTTCTTTCTATAAATTTAGTATACGTGCTGTTTCGATTTTCAGAGAAAACTTTTGCGTTGATGTTGCCTTAATTAATATACATATTACGTAGGTTTTCTAACGAATTTCGGGAGTTAAACAAAGTACAATAATTTTATTTCAATCGCAGAAGTGTAATTTGAAATTAATAATGAATGAAAGATACGGTCTTCCATTTCCGTGTTTTAAAAACTAGATTTGCTGCATAACACATTCGATGGCGGAATGCAACTGACCAGAGTTGTCGCCGCACATGCAAAATTCTCTCTCTTAAAACAATTATGTTGGAAATATTGCCTTGATAAACGAGGCTCTTTAGATAATTCCATAACAAAAAATCATTGGGTTCAGATCTGGTGTTTGTGCTCAGTCGTGACATTAAAAATTATCGGCTAATCACGCACTTGTGCGAAAAATTATAGCCAAAATTCGTTAGAAAAAGTATAATACGTAATAAGGGGACAGTAGCGCCAAATTTTTCACTAGCGGTTGAATTTTAAAGTAAAATTTTTCCCGAAACCGGTATGTAAAATTACTAAGGAGTTACTCGTCAAGATTCAATCCCGAGTTCCCAAGAACGGTAGGCTAACTCCCTTAATCATCTGTCCGACAAACTACATATACAGGTTAGTGGTAAAATTTTTAACTATTCCTGTCCATTATTCCAAATGACGAGATTCTGTTTGTTTATAGGCCTACTTATGTAAAAAAAAGTATAAATACGATTTTAAATCTCAAACGTTATTGTACCGTTTTGTAGTATAATATTTAATTAATACTATTACATTTCAAAACTTTTCCGTGGGTATTTCCCAATCCCAAATTAGCAAATTTGCTAGAGTTACCCCTATTGCATTTGGTCTAGCTACGTCAATTTTCCAACCTTTTCTAATAAAGGCACCCCCAATTTGCTAATCTTTTCTTGCGATATATCCCTACTTCTTTATCAATGTAAATTTGTTGCGGTTTTCGTACCTTTTAGTAATATACTTTTAAGAAGTGTTATGGGTGCTGCTCGGCAGTATTTCGCGGCACCCCCGAAGTGTGGTTGAACCATCCTATTGTACGCCCCTCGATATAACGGTGTACAGAAAACATTATTACCTGAATTTTCATGATACAGATTTTTCCAAAGACCTTTCTCTCGTTTGACGAGAGCAAATGATATGGCATTATCTCCGACGAAAGCGTTGCACTTCTTGATATCGATGGCTTTTTTTAAAAACGCTTCCCAAAAGAAAGGCGGATGACTTATCTTGGAAAAAAAAGAAAAAATATTAACAATTTTATGCATTGAATTATTTATTTTTTTATAAACTTTAGTAACGTCTTTAATTAATTACAGTCCTCTTAGTGTCCACAGGAATAAGAGGACTTTTTTAACATTACGAATTCGAACCCGGATCCACCAGAGTTGCAGGTTGCCATCTGGCAGTCTCATTATTTAAAATTATAAAATAATACTTTATAAATTATTTATATACATTATTGTTATTATCTACAGGCCATTAAATTTTTAACTTGTTTTTATTCAGTTATAATTTAAATTTTAATTGATGTATTGTCTTAATTAAAATTAATAATCCCCTGGTTAATTAGGTTATTAATAACCCAATTTTAATTAAAATTATTTAATTGGGTTATTAATTCGCGGGATATTAATTAATTAATTAATTTTATGTCATTCTAACCTTTAAGTATTGACTAGATGATAAAATTGAAAGATTCTTCTTGTTTACGTTATTGAAAGCAACATTAATGGAGATATTTCCTTCTGTTTCTGACCAAGAAACATCTTTTATAAAAATAGGCATCTTTCCCTTAACTTTAGAAGCGCATTTATGTTTGAATTCGTTACTATGGTAACGTCCACACAGTGTTGCCAGAAGATTTCCAACTGAATAAAAATTCATCTCGAAATCTTCGTAATTTTGTTAAATTTTTCATTTAAATTATTATTATTCTTATGAATTCTATAACCAATCATCGAATTATACTACATTTTTTACTTTGTCTCCTTTTTTTCTCCCTTTGCTCTTTTTGTAAAACTGGCATTCTGCCATTTATTCATTGAATTCCTGATAGAAAAGATTATTTTGTTTTTATATTCACCCCATTTTCAAGTCAATTTTCCATTTCTTTTTAAAATTCTTATTGTTTTGTTTTAAAATATTGTGGGTGTTAACTCTTCCAATTATCTTTTCCATTATTTTTTCATTAATTACATTCAGGTTATTCTTCATTGTNCATTTAAATTATTATTATTCTCTTTATTTACTGTCAAAATTTCTGATAGTAAATAATGTTATAAATATGATAAAAGTTTATGTAATAGATAATTTTGTCGGTCACTACCAGTCAGCCGGCGTTATTTTGTAATACTGTATTCAATCGTAATGAATGCATTATAAAAAACATTGTATTTATTATATAGTCTACATCAAATCATATCGAATTATAATATAAATTTTAGATTTAACAATACAATACGATACATACTTTTCCTGTTAACAATAGTCATGCTGAGAATCCATCTGTTTGTCTTTTAATCTAAGGATTAAAGATAAACAGATGGATGAGAAGTTATATCTGCAATTTTTTAAAATAGCCCAATAAAGATGAGTGTTAAATCAACATAAAACCTTTCTTTGTAAAAATAGTCATATATCCAGTATACTGTATTCCCATTATTTGATTGTGGTCATTCAAATGTCACTGTTTCAATGACAAAGGTCATCATTGTATCAAGTGTAAAATTAAACTGTTAAAAAATGGGAAAAAATGCCATATTAACAGCATGTGATGTCAATAGAAAAAGTTGTTCATGGGAACAAAATAATACAGGAAATGTTTTAGTAAGTAACCTCTTAAGTTACCTGTTAAAACATCTTTCCTGCATTGCATGTTAGATGTGCAAAGCAGCCAGCAGAGCAACTTCTTTTAAAAGCCAAAAACTGGCCTTATTATCCATATTTTAGTAAAAAAATTTTTGCTACTTTGGGTATATTTTGTCTCCATGAACAATTTTTCTATTGACAGCTCAGGATAATTAGACATTTTTTAGTTAGTTAGTTTGTTTAGTTAAGATATGGCAATGCAACACTTGGGCGATCTGCCTAGGGAGGTCTTTTTTAAGGGTAACTGGCCCCTATTCAGGTGTTTCAGAAGTGGAGAAAACCCGGAAAACTCCACGTGGCCAGCCCGTCCTGGCGAGGTGTGAACCCGGGACCAAACTCCCAGTGTTCCGGGAACGGAACTGCTAGGCCATGGACCAGCTTGTTTTAGACATAATTTTTATTATTTTTTTTAAGGGACCAGTTTTAGATTAATTTTACACTTGACATAGCAATTCTCTTTGCCACTGAAACAAAATATTAGATAAATGTATAAATAATAAAGATATGGCTATATTTAGAAATTCCAAATAACCAGAATATATGTATGTATATATCAGAAATTTTAAATCAAAATCTTCATTATCAAATATTTAAACATGATACAGTTTATCCTTGTTAATTCAAAGTTAAAATTTAATAGATTTTACTGTCATTTCCTAGATATTAGCATTATATTAAATACAGTAATTTGAAATTTTAAGATCCTTTTGGATAACTCAAACAAAAATAAATAAATTATTATTATAAAATGTAAAATATAAGTATGAAAAAAACATTGATCAAATTATTTTGAAAAGAAATTTCTTGTAATGTCAGTTATCATTGTCTGAGAACCATTATTATTATTATTATTTAGCAAATACTCTTCCTGTTTTAATAAACTTGGTAATAGAGAGTAACCCAAAAGTAAGTTAACTAAGACATATACTGTTAATTAAAAAAATCAACACACCTTAAAGACTAGTTTATTACTATTAAACTTGGCATTTGCAATGGGTATGTAAAGATAAAGAAACAATTTTTTTGCAAAACGACTATTAATTAGAATGCAGTAGCAATATAATGGTCACATATTAGTATGTAGTAAAACCATCTCTGTGCCAACACAGAATACAGTAGTGCCATGACTTATGAGTTAAGAGTTCTGTCACAGAACAAATTAAACTCAAATTACTCATATGTCAAATCAATTTTTGCCATTGAAATGAAATGCCATTAATCCATTCTTGACCTCCAAAACATTGCATTTTTTTGTTACACGTTTTTAAATAAGAAAAATGTACGTATTAAAAACAATAGATTGTACTACAATAAACTGGTTTTGCAGATGATGCAGCATATTATGGCAGTTTTCCATCTTTTTCTTAATCTATGATTTGCTATAGTGTTTGCTGTGCCAACTATCTGAAGCTGGTTCTCAACTCAAAGCATAAAATCTGACGAGACACAGCTTGATCTCAAAAAACTCGTAAGTCAAGGTACCACTGTATATGGCAAGGCATGGAGTCAAACAACAGTCTAATGTTGTCCTGCAATTGTTGGGCTAGTTTGTTCACATTTCATGATAGCTGCAACTGCTTTTCTAGCATTTCTTACTCACACTTGATTAGCAAAAGGTCTGGGGACTTTGTTTCCACATGGTTCATATCCTTTCATGGCCAACTCTACTCTGTTCAGAGATTCTCACCATCTGAGTCAGGCATTATTATGCTGATGACCCTGGAAGATGTGACATCATAGGCAGTACAATTGGCTGAAGACTGTTGTCAACATAGTGACCTATCAGAGTGCTTTGTAGCAATACTAGAGAAGATCTGCTGTTGTAGGAGATGGATACCAAGACTGTAATTGCAACTGAATTGAAGCAATGACCATGCCTCCTCTATACATGGATATGGTGATCATCTGTGTCCAGAGAAGCAGTGAACACTACATGACTCTAATAGAATCATGGACAGTATCCTACTCCATACTGCTTATGTTGGTGGTCAGTGAAAGATGTTTAGTGACAGTAGGAATTAAGTTCTGGCTCTCTCAAGTATTGCTGAATGGTCTCCTTTGATGGTACAAGCTGTGTAGAAGAAGGTATGTTCCTTTGGATAAAGAATGGGGATGTGACATAGTGCAATTAGAAGAGCAGCCATTACAATAACAATCTATTTTAGCTAACCAAATATTTTACTCAGCTCCTTAAATAATAAATCATCCAACACCTGATGCTGAAAAACATTTATTTAAATGGTTGAATATTTTAGTCTGAAAACATTAATGTTTCTACATTAATGTTTTCAAACTAATATGATAGGCCATCTTCAGATGCAAGTATTCTCGAACATATTTAACTTAATATTTAAATGTCAGAACGTTCAAATACTTTTATGTTAAAATTAAAATACTGGATAAAATGACAAATAAATAATAAAATAAAAGAAATATACTAAACAAACTAATACAATNATTGCAGTCTATTTTACAGTGATCATTGAAATTATAAATATATAAAATAATGAAGTTAAAATCAAAACATTCTGTACTTCAGAATGCATATCGAGTTCTGATATCTTCAAGTTTTTTCGAAACCTGTAATAATAAAATTATTATTATTAATTAATTGATATATTCATTATTAAGGTTCAAATTTAATTAATTCAATACTAACTTCACTGGGATTCCTGTCCAAATCTTCAGCAATGCTTTTTTGTTTTGCTGGTTCTAATGAATTAAACTGTTCACATAAATCTCCATTATATTATTTACATCGTTATTGTATTAGTTTGTTTAGTATATTTCTTTTATTTTATTTGTCATTTATCCAGTATTTTGATCTTAACATAAAAGTATTCGAACATTTAAATATTAAGTTAAATACATTCAAGAATACTTGCATCTGAAGATGGCCTATCATATGAGGTCTGTTCAAAAAATACTCTGACTGTTTGAATTGCACAGTTCCAGTTGGTTCCAGGGGAATCAGCTGGTGTTGCTAGGTTTATACAGATCGTCTGGTGATAAAGCTGTTTCCCAATTACAGGTATCTTTATTTATTGATTAGATATGTGGTTTTTAGTGAAGTGCAATTTTTTCATTTGTTGGATTTCAGAATGAATGACCTGATGGAACAATGACTTGCTGTGAAATTTTGTGTTAAACTTGGAAAATCTGCGACTGAAACATTTGCTATGCTCAACCAGTGGGTGGGTGAAACGTCCCCAGACCCAAAAAAGCTCGCCAAGTTCGACAATGTCAAGGTGATGCAGACAGTTTCCTTTGATGCTAAGGTTGTTGTTCACCACAAGTACAGTACCTCCCCAAGGCTCCACAGTGAACCAGACTTACTATGTTGAAGTTATGAAACATCTGACAGACACTATCTGTCGCAAAAAGCCAGAAATGTGGAGTGGCGACTGGTTTCTCCAGCACGACAATGCTCCTGCCATTCAGCCTTCAGAACTCTTGAGTTTTTGGCCAAGCACTTGATCACTGTTCTTCCCCACCCCCTACTCGTCTGACCTTGCTCCTTGTGACTTTTTATTGTTCCCCAAACTCAAAAGACCCTTGAAAGGAAGAAGATTTGAGACGATTCCTGAGATTAAGGCAAATGCGACAAAGGCACTGAAAGACATTACAAAAGAAGCATACCAGGACTGTTTCAACAAGTGGAAACACCGTTGGGATAAGTGTGTGCATTGGGAAGGAGAGTACTTTGAAGGGGACCCAGACATGTAACTTTTATATAATGTACATTTTGTTTTATGATGTCAGTCCATGATTTTTTTGAATAGATCTTGTATTAGGTCAAAAACGTTAATGTTTCTTTAAATAAACATTTTTCTCAGCATTGTGTGTTGGATGATTTGTTATCTATTTTAGCATTTGTCACTTTGGAACATCCAGATCATTTGTGATGAATATGTGGGCAGCAGTGGGTTCAGGAGGGCAAGTATCATCTTACTGCCATATCGCTTCTACCAAGAGGGAAGCTGACATATCTGCACGACCACCTGGCTTTTCTTAAACTTGTAATGCAACCTCTCTAACTCATTTAGTTGCATTTATTGTCACAGAACATGTAGTGTTCACTGTTGAACCATCTTCACAGACTACTTAACATTAACAAACAGGAAACCATGTCAAATCTGTCCATGGGTGCAAACAGTACTGCTTATATGAACCCCAGAATGTATTCTGTTGCACTCTGGAAACATTCAGTGCACTCATTAGCAAAGATATTTTCATCATTTGCCTATCTAGCCAAATGGCAGTTTTGTGGCTTTTGCTCTATATTTTTTGGAATGCCTTGATTTTTTGCAACAGTGTATTTTTGAGATTATTTTAACAATAGTTATATGTTGTTGGTTTTAGCTTTCCAGTCATTTATAATGAAGAAAATGAATCATGTAAGTTGTAATAAGAACATGAATTTAAGTAGACAGATTTCTAAACATTTAGATGATAGATTTTTATTTCATTAGAAATTCTGATAATCAAAATATTGGATAATTTGATTTTTTTTCTGGGTTCTTAGAAATTTCAAAGGTAGTGAAATCTTATTATGTTAACTGTCTTTTAATGAAATATATTGAATATGTTTATTTATACAAATGATAAACTATTATTAAATATATAGAAAATGGTTTGACAATATACTCAAATTTTTTCCCTATGGTATTTAAATTATCTTGTGATGATAATTTTAATTTTATGTGAAATCAAACACAATAATAGAATATAATAATGAATAATGGTTTAATATCATGATAAAAATTGCATTCTATTTTACAGTGATCATTGAAATTATAAATATATAAAATAATGAAGTTAAAATCAAAACATTCTGTACTTCAGAATGCATATCGAGTTCTGATATCTTCAAGTTTTTTCGAAACCTGTAATAATAAAATTATTATTATTAATTAATTGATATATTCATTATTAAGGTTCAAATTTAATTAATTCAATACTAACTTCACTGGGATTCCTGTCCAAATCTTCAGCAATGCTTTTTTGTTTTGCTGGTTCTAATGAATTAAACTGTTCACATAAATCTCCATCAATTACATTCTTTAGAAAAGAAGTAAAAATTAATTGCAATATAAAAATTTCCATGAAAAAAATATTATTTTTTAAAGGAAAAAAAATAATAATAGCTACCTTAACGGGAAAATAGTATGATCGGAAAGACAAATGATCTCGACCACAGAGAGGTGGGTTTTCTGATCTCATATGCATTTCCAAATGTTGAAAAAAGTCATGATCCTAAAATAAAATTTTTAATTTTAATGAAAATTTGTTTTATATATATAATGTTTAAAATATAACACAATATATTTGAACATACTTCATGAGATGTAAATGGAACTAAAACACCAACAGTGCCTGATAGAGTCGTATAAACTAAAGATTCACTTCCTCCTGGAATGAGGGTAGCTTTTTGCAATGACAGAACAATTTCACCAACATGAAAATTTGCAATTACTTCTGCCTAAAAAATAAATTTTATTTTTATGTAAATAATAAAATTCAAATTTTTTAAAAAAGTGTTATAGTATACTGTTAAATTATGTAAAGAAAAAAATGCAGATGTATATAGAATGACTATCAACAACTGTCAAAATATTTTGCCAATATTATTTTTAACATTTATTTAAATATGAATTGATTGTACACACTATATTTTTGGAAAGTGAATTCTTTCTCATATTAGAACTGTTGAAGTCATGGAAATATATTCCTGAATATGCAAATACATGTACTGGGTGTCCCATAAGTTTGCTAATATTCAAATATAAATAATAATAATAAAGATTTAGAGGAAAAATATGTTTCCAGATAGGGTTAAACATAGTCTATTAATAAAAGATTATACAAAATAAAAACAGACTGTTAAATATAAATCAAATTGTAGTTTGGAATCTGCTGGATGCCATTTATAAGTAGGCTCTGAAAACATGGCTTGCCTTAAGTGTAATAAACAAATATATCCATAGCAAATAGATAAATAAAATATTTATTCAATGTCTTATTTTGGATGCCAACTACCTATTTATTTTCTAATTCAGAGCTTGTTTTTCAAAGAAAATAATTGAAACAGTGTCATTACAACTCATGAAATTGGATTTCTTAATATTTTATTGAAACAATTTTTCACACCAAACTGGCTGTAAAACACATTAGTATTTTGTGCATACTCAACACTTTGAATCTTATACAGTAATACCTTGACTTACGCGATTTTCAAATATTGTTGATTCATTTTTTGTTTGAGCGCCACGCAACTCTTGATTACTCACTCCCCCCACACTATTGTTTAGCTTATATATTTGGACGTGTCGTGCAGAATTGACACATAGCTCCAATTTATTTTGTGTTATTTATTTCTGTGTTTGTTATATCTATGGAGATTTGAGAGGCTCTATGTGGTGATTTCTTGTAACCGTGAACGAATCAAAAGACAAGATAAGATTAACGAGAGCATTTATTAGCTTACATACATCCGATTTGGATTGCGAAATTATACCCCGACTTATGCGGTTATCGCTCAGTCCCACCTAACGCGTAAGTCCGTAGTATTACTGTACATATAGCATTTATATAATAAAATTTATCATCAAAGCTATATTTTAAAGAATCAAAAGCAATTTGTCTACAGGCAGGCATTCCATTATTATAATCTCTAATTGTGTTATCTTGTAGCTGGCCTATTTGAAGAATTTTCTATTTCATATGCCAAATTATGAGAGCTTGCATAGTACATTTTAGTATAAATAAGATTTCATCATTAAAAGAAGCACATTTTTTAGTTAGTATTGCATATAACAATGACATGGTAGCAGTCACATATTAAAACTATATAATAATGTACAACAATATTTTAATCTTTACTAATGTGTTACATATCTTTAAAGGTGGTGTTTATTTAGAAATTTTTTATATTAATCATTCAGCAAATTAATTTTTAATACTTAATAATTTTAATTTCCTTTGAAAACATTTTTAAAGGTATAAAAAAGGGGAGAAAGGAACTCGTTGACAAGAGTTTACTCTATACCTTTAAAGGACTATCATTTTGGATCTGATTTGGTTTATGTAGGAGCTACTATGCAGCAAAAATATTCTGTTAATAGAGACATGGACAGTACGATTTTAGCATCGTTCGCCAAACAACAAGAAATTAATGTATTGTGGGATCAAGCTTCTATTATCAGAGCTACGACCAACAGACATACAAAGCGCAGATGAGAACAGAATGCACCCTTATCATCTGCATGGAAATCTTTTTACAGTAAAATACATGGCTTCAAAAAGAATAACATCTGATGTGTATATATTCCTTAACTGCAGGAATTTTATAAATAAATTAAATTACAAGTTATTTTTTGAAGGATAAAGAAAATACAATATTTGACCTTTTGTGAAGAGCCACCAAGCCAACCTCTGTCCCATAAAGCTTTAACACCCGTGGGATCTTCATCTACATCATCGCTTATAACAGTTGGAAGACGAATCTGTGAATTTTTATAATCAGAATTAAACTTTTACATAAAAGAATTATAATCAAATTAATTTAGAAAAAATACTTACAACAGATATATTTCCATATTTATCAGCACCAGCAACAGTATCATAATCCAACAGACAAGCTGAAGTAACCCATCTGGGATTTGTATCATCAGCAAAAACAAGAAGTTGATTCTCTTGACGCTTATACCGTAAATAAAAGAAACTATCTTGTACATCTCCAACTATTACACGGTGACCGACAGCATGAATGGTTACTATTAAATTAGGAATATGCTAAAAAAATTAAATATTTTATTCATTTTTTTATTTTTAACTTTGAACAAAAATTGAAAATAAAAAAAACTTATAATATATTACCTTATTTTCACATTTTCTAAGTAATTTTTTCTTTCCTAAATCATATATTCTTAACAAGCGGCCAACACCAATTAAAATTCTCCCCTGAAATGGGCATATTGCAGTTGGCACTTCATCAACAGGAGTTGCATGAACTAATTCTAGATGTCCTTCTTCCTTTATTCTATATGTATGAACAGAACCACCATTGCTTTGACGAGGATTTAAATGTAGTTCTTTTGCCACTCCAACGAGCACAAATATTTCATCACAATGATTTGCAAACTTTGCTAAGGTAATGCTAATCAAAAATTTATTTAAATAATTTTTGTCATAAAATTTTCATTTTGTTTTGTATTAGAAAAATATAAATATAATGATCTTATTTTACCTAACAGCAGCTTCATTTTGTTCTAGAGCAATTTTCTGAATAGTTTTTCCTTCAATGGGATCTAAGATACGAATAACTGAGGCCCACATTCCAGGTCCAGCTTTAGGTGCACCAAAAGTAGCTTCAGGTAGATTTTCACTTAGAAAAGCAGCAGCCATTTCAGCTGCTAATTCTTGTTCATCTTCACCAGCAGCTTCAACCATTTCCTTAATTATAAATGCAGTTAAACATTTACTTTTAATTATGAAAACATATTACAACACAAGGAAATAAGAGAAGAAAATGAAAAAATTTTCAAGGACAAAATTAGTTCTTTTAAATAAAATATTGTTGTAATATGAGAATTCAATTGTGCTATTATTAGAACAAATAAAAACTCTAGATCTGAAAAAATTTTAAAAGAAAGTTAGGAAAAATCCAATAATACATAAGCAAATTTTATATGTCTACTAGAAATAAGAGATTTTAAAAATCAATAATTCTTATTCTTTATTCCAATATTTACTAATAATATTGATTTGCATGGAAGAAACATTCCATACACGAATACAGAGATAAAGACAATGGAAAATAAAACATTTTATTCTTACTTGAAAGCTTATCTTATATAAATGTGCAAAAATGTCAATCGTCTGAAGATCTCCACATTTTTGCACATTATTAATTTTAAACTTTAACTTCATTAATTAATTACAAAATAAAATAGTTGTTTTTTCCTCTTACTGGTGAAATATTTTATAAATATTTCTTTTAAACTTTTATTTAGAAAGAATAAGAATTACTATTCATCAATGTAATTAAAAGCATATGCATAAGAAATAGAAACAAAACTGAATAAACTAATAAAGAAAAAAAAATCTGCAAATTTTAACTTAATGCAAACTTACGAGTGGATAATAATTAAGTGAAAAATAACATCTGGAGACAAAATTATCTACAAAACTTATAAACATTCAAAATTGAAAAATAGAAAACTCTGAACATCTTTTCAAAGCTGTTTTAACAGACTGAATGAAAAATTTCCAATGGAATATGGTAAAACAAAACTATACACCATAGGGGGGGTGTGTCAATTTTGTCTTGGCTGTTGGTGACTTTTTCTTTGACTTTACCTTTTTAATAATATACTAGATTTACTACCTTTGATACACTGGTCAAGTGAAGCCGACTGATTTTAAGTAGTACAATATTCTTGTGGCAGTCTTTTTGTTCTGAATTATTCTAAAGTATGTTTCCAAGAACTCCTTCTAGTGATATGTCTCAAGGTTAGAATGGCAGGAAAGGAGTAAAACACCACCATTCTCCAAATTATCCAGGAGCTAAATGTTTGAAGCTTAAACATTATTTTTAAAAACAAGAAGAGGGTTTAACTTCCTTTTGGCAGTACCTGGAGTCAACCTTAACTGCAGTTGTAGTGAAATTGATGACTATAGAAGATAGGTTTGCTAGTTTGGAATAGGTTTATCAGACTACTTCGTTTTCAGTGAAATCATTGGAGAGTGAATGTTCAAATATTTGAATATGATTTGATACACTGAAACAACAACAATGACAACTTAATGATATTGATGAGTTACATGCTTTCATCTACGATAGATTCATTAATGCCTCGAGGAAAAATAATTTGATGTTTAATCATAGTGTTCCACACAAGTTAGAAATTATTGATTATATGGTTAATTTTCTGTCCAAGGAATTAGAGATGTTAACTGTATCTTGTTTAGAAAAGTCATCCATCTCCAGTATGTGGGGAAAAAGTCAAGAGTTTTAATAAGTAAAGAATACAATAAAGTATTCAATTGTCATCTTGGAAAACTTGAAATTCTTTAATTCAGAAATTCATATTAAAATTTCAACAAGTTGACAGATAGATGGGCTACATTTAGTTTGGCACCGGATTTGTCTGCCAATTCATGTTTACAACCATATGAAATTGGTTTCTTACTTAAAAGATAGACAAGTCTAGTTACACGATGATGATTTATTTGTAGATGATAAGCATTTTCTATCTTGGAGTCTCAGCTTGTTGAACTTCCTCCTCCTTTTTTATTTTAAACTTCTCTCATGTGTCAGACTATCTGAGGGGTCTCTACAGCACAACATCCCTCCAGGACTTGAATCTGGGTTGGGCTTTCAATCAGCTTCCTTATCTTTCTGGAATTGTAATGGATTTAGTTCTAAAAGCTCGGTGATTACGAGTTACATGTATAACTGTCCAGACCTGTAATGTATGGATTTAGTGGCAACCTGATTGGTTTCATCTGAGGTGGTTATTCTTAGTAGGTTATTGCTAGCAAATTGAAACTTTCATATAATATTGGTGGATAAACTTACGGACCCAGGAAGGCCTAGTGGTGGTATTCTTTTCTTTAATGAATCTAAAGCTTATTTTGAGCTATTGGATTTTACCCAGATATACTTGTGGTTAGTCTAACTCATTCAAACATTTTTGCTTCTCAATCCACCTTAATACTGATTATGCTGGAACTAAAAAACAGCAAAACATTCATCTTGATTCGTTCCGATATCTTGGAAACCTGGTCACCAATGTTTGACGAAGTTGTCATTATGGGTGATTTTAATGTACATGTTGGTCACAAAGTTGATACTTTTTGAATACAACTAATCACGAAATATTTACAATTCAAGGCGATCAAAGAACCTAAAAATCAATACTAATGGCATACTGTTTTTACAGTGGTTAATTGAACATAACCTTATTCTTCTCAATGGGCAAACCAGAAGAGATTATCCTGCAGAATTGACTTTTCTTTCAAGTATTGGTTGTTTAATTATTGACTTCATGATTATTTCTCAAAGCATACATCATTTAATAGAGACTTTAAAAAGTAGAATGTCTGCCATTATCAGATCATTTCTCTGTAGTTCTGAATGTCTTTTGGATGGAAAAATCAGTTTCTTTGAGACTTGCTATGTTTGGAATAAGTCTAAGGTAGGTGCACCTGCTGATGCTGTTAAGTCATGTTTTCAGAATAAGAAATTTGCTAATGAATTAGATGATTTTTATCATGTAGTAATTGTTGAATTATGTTCCTTGGCGAGAAACTTGGCATTTTAAGAGGGGGAGTTAGGGTTAATAATGCCCGTTGTTCTCTGTGGTTTGACGAATCTTGTCTCATACTTAAGAAAAAGTGGAATTGAAAATATAAATCTCTCTGTATTTTTTGAAGATAGGGTAACCATGCCAAACTCGTCTCTTTTTAAAATCTAAATAGAGAATTATAGCTCATTACCCAAAATTTCCATGTTTTAACTTTGATAAATCTTACCAGGAATTTGGTAAACATTAAAAACTCCAAGACCTTTTGACTACATATCAGCTGGTTTCATGTGACAAAATTTATGACCAATCATGTCATTTCCTTGGCTGTCTGGTATAATTTTTTTAATTAGCCTTTTGTTGTTTGTTTGCTATGTAAACAACATGATACAACTTTTGATGATTTAGACATCCAACTACTTCAGTTTGCAAGTAATACAGTATTGTCGTCAACAACACCAGTCAACTTTCACAGAAAACTGGATCTACTATCACAATATTCATCTTTGGGTTTAATTTCTATAAGCCCAGGATTATGATTTTCAGACAGGGAAGATGGCTAACAAAAATTTATAAGTTTTTCATAAATAATAGATATTAGCATTTTAAACAAAGTGGTTTACCTGGGTATGCATTTATCAGTATCAGGTTCTTTTGTCAATTATGTTTCCTTTGTGAAGGGTAAAGCTCTACCTAAGGTAAAAGTAGTGATTGATAGCTTATGTATGATGAGAAATAGTCACCTGTCTTTAAAAAATTAGCTGCCTCTCTATTCATGTTGAGTTGGTTGTGTGGTTTACCTTTATGGAGACCTTTTTGCTCAATTACATCAAGATTGATTCAACTGAGTTTTTTTGTCACCTTTTTGGCCTTGAGAGATCGATACTAACAACAGATCTGAATTAGGTTTGTACTTTCCTTATAATTGTTTTATTAAACTTGTTCTTAAATTTTTATCAAATATTGTCTCAGACTCATCCTCTCTTGTGTTCACAGCATATTCTGTTTTAAAAGGACTGTCAATGAATAGATCGCTGAAAAATAGTTGGTATACACAATTGGATAGTCTACTGAACCGAATCAGCTTTTTCTTAGCTTTAATTGACTCATCACCAAAGACCATAAATTACTATTGTAACATAATTATATTAGAATTCAATGATTTTTTTTTGTCAGTGAGGAGAACAAAAAGATAACCAATGCTAAGTTCTACCTCTAGTATACAGAAATATTGCACAGATGTCAGGTTTTTTCTTATCAACAACAATTGCCTTTTGCAGTAAAGTAAATGATTATCCAGATATGTTTAAATAAATTTCATTAACCTTAAATTTTTTCCCAGTTAAATTTTAATTATTTGGATAGATATCCTTCTTGTACACAAGGAAATGCTACTTTGAATCATTATATATACAAGTGTAAAAAGTTTGTTCTTTTTTGTCAAACTAAAGGTTATAGTGATGTTTGTATTTCTACTGTGGGACAAGAATACACAGACTGTTTTCTAACACAACTTCTGTTGAAACAATTTGGAAAAAATATAATTTAATTGTAAATGCCATTAACTATATTAACCCTTATTCCTAGAGGAGTATATAAAATAAAACTATACACCATATACAATATTATATAAATTATTATGTATGGAGAAATGAACTTTCACAATCGGCTCAATCATAAATTAATAATTTTAATTGTACTATTCTAAATGTATTGTATTTTATCATAATAATAGGATTTACATCAAAATAAACTCTTATTTTTATTAAATTTTACCTCAGCCATTTGTTGCTTTCTCTGAACTTTAGTCTTTTCAGTGTAGGCATTGTGATCAGTTTCAATAATAATTAAATAACCAGTTTCTGGTTGAATCACAAATCTTCGAGGAGTATATTCCAAGGGGGTTGAAACTTGATTAAAGACAGCTCCCAATTTTTCCAAAGCCAAAATTCTATATAAAAGTTATATTTTTAAAACAACATTAAATATTTTTTAAAAGTCTATAATTTAAAATAATTATGAGATATAATAATATAAATCTGAAATACTAATAAAAGATTACTTGAAAAAGTTGCTTTATTGTTCTGTATTTTCAAATTATAGTGCAAATCTATTACAATTTGAAACTGAACTGATGTACACAGTGTGGCTATAAAGTTCTAAGAATGCTTCTAAAATATACAAAAAGTTTTCATAATTTATTCTTCAAGACATATTCCTCCCAGCTCCACACAACACTTTGCATGGTCCTACAGCCTGTTCAGGGATCCTGGAAGTCTGCTCTTCAATTCCAATTCGGGAAAGAGGAAGTAGTCAGCTGGGGTGAAATCAAAATAATATCGAGTGGTGCAACATTGACATTTCTGGAGGCTAGAAAATGACACACAACTGCTATGTTGTAAGATTATTATGTGCATTACTGTGCAGCAGTTTCATTCTCCATGTTTAACTGCTCTGCAAGCATCTGAATGGTACATTGGTCAGAAGCCAACAACTGTCAAACTCATTTAATGTTTTCCCTGTTTCTACTTGATGCTGAATGACTGCTCCTTGGGTCATCTTTGATTTCCTCTGTCCCACTAAGAAATTGCACATGCCAAAGAAAAATGTTGGAAGGAGTCAAAGAAGCCACCCCAAATAATTTCTGGATCATATCAAATTATTCTGCTAGTATTCTGCTCAAATAAACACAGAATTTGATTGTATACCATTGTTCTTTTGACATCATCCTAACATGTCACACAAAACACATCCATGGAGAGCTGCACTAAACCAATACTGATAAAAGCTAGTTTAGGTGTTAAGAAAGGCCAGTTAGATAAAGTTCAATTGATAATTCATAATGGGGTTGCTTTGTTGATGCTACAGAAAATCAGTCCTAAAACTTTATAGCCACATTCTTTAAAAAATACTGTATTTGAATCCTAGAAGTATCTTAAAAAAGAAGCAATTATAAATATTAAATATTTTAAATATGTAGAAAATTAATCTAAATTTAAAGTAATATATTAGCCGTAATATATTTATATAATATAAAAAATATATTTAAAGTAATATATTAGCCATAATTAACAGAGTGATATTACTGTAATTACCTTAAAAATCAATTGTCCAAAACAGGATTAGAAACTCAGTTATCCAAAATGGTTTGCAAATAAATAAATAAAAACAATGTGTAGTGTTATACATACCAAGAGTATAATACACAGAGACTCAATTCTCCACATAACTGGAAATCACTATGTCATCTGTTGATTGTAGCACCGTGAAACTAGGCCATAAACATAAAATTATGTTAGAATTTCAGTAAATTCAAATACAGTAATTGCATTACAGTATTTACAGTTCATGAAACTTAAAATTCATTTTGCTTGATGTACAAAAAATAAGAACAAATGAGTTTCTGAATTATCTGAGATTATATATCTGAAAAACCTTAGTCCCATTAAGTTTGGATAATTGAGTTTCCATTGTATTTCCTAAATTAAGAAGTTTCTTTTTATTTTTACCTCAGTGTGTTAGAGGAAATAGCAACAATCCCTTCAGGACATTGTTCTGATGAAAATCCAGATGCATACTCTAATGTCTCATAAGATAATGGAGTTAAGTGAAATCTGTTTTGATAATAGTAGCTCAGCCATGATCTACTAGACATTGCTAATACTGAATCACTTCCCTGCATCCGGACTTTAAACAGCTTTACCGGTCTTGATCCTAGATAACGGGTTCTAGTATCAGATAAATCACCTGTTATTTGATCCAATACAGTTCTTAATAATACTCCATTCTATAAAAGACAAACAAATCAGCTTATATATTAGAAAAAGTCATCATCAAAACTTAAATTAAAATTATTTCATATTAATCAGATTTTCAATTTAATCAACAATGCTCATATGGCACGGACAAATGTCATCATTTTCTAATTCTTAACACAAATATTAAATATGTAATAAAAACGTCCACAATATTTTAATTTAAAAATTCTCATACTTGTAATCCAATATTGAGATATAATATTCCTTGACCACTTGTATCTCTGGTGCCACCTTCAGAACCGCCCATTTCAACAATAGCCAATGATTCAGGAGTTGCAGGTAATGCCTGCATACTAAGTGGAGAAAGACAATCCTGTTAGGAAAAAATTAATAAATGAAACACATTATTATTATTATTATTATTATTAATAAATGAAACAAATTATATCTTTTTTAAACTATCTTAATATAAAAACTGAAACATTTTTATAATTAATTGATTACAATGCAATTAAAATACCAATATATTGTTGGTATTTTTATTTGTGTATTTGTGTTTGTGTCTGCATATGCACATGCATAGATTCACAAAGGTTGTTCAAAAATAATGTGTGGAATTTAAAACAACACAAATACATTAATTAAGCATCACCAGATAAATAGTCTTTTTCAAAAACTTTCCTTTGCAAATACAGAAGTTTCACTTTCTAGAAGGGCTTACTGGAACTCCTGTAAGACCCTACCCTAAGAATGTCTGATATTGATTTGAATCTTGTTTCTCCCATATTTATTTTATTTTTGGGAGAAGCCAGAGATCACACAGTTCAAAGGTCTAGGCTAAAAGCAAGTTAAAACAACAAAGTAATACTTTTCTCACACAAAAATCCCCTAAGACACTTGCCAAATCAGTTCAATGTACAGTAATACCTCAACTTACGCGAACCCGGAGTTATGCGATTTTCAAATCTCGTCGATTCATCTTGTTTGAGCGCCACGCAACACTTGATTACTCACTAACCCCACACTATTGTTCAGCTTACATGTTCGGACGTGCCGCGCAGAATCGACACATAGCTACAATTTATTTTGTGTTATTTATTTCTGTGTTTGTTATATCTACGGAGACTTGAAAGACTCTATGTGGTGATTTCTTGCAACCGCGAACGAATCAAAAGATGAGATAAGATTAACGAGAACGTTTATTAGCTTACATACATCCGACTTGGATTTTACACAAATTGCGAAATTATACCCCGACTTACGCGGTTATCGCTCGGTCCCACCTATTGCGTAAGTTCGGGATATTACTGTATTGTATATGACAACTGCTAAAGCTGTTAAACTTAGCTTTACATGATATATAACAGTTTTAATTATATACAATTAGTCTTGTTATTATATAAAATGTTACTATATAATATTTTTATAAAATTTAACAATAATTAATAATTATAATAAGTAAAAAAATTCATTTACATTTCACTGAACAACATTTTAAAACAATATTAGATAAATTTATAATCTGATATTTAATACTAACTTAATCCTAATCTACAGATTAATTAACTAATCAAAAGCCCTGTAGATTTATTAATCAGAAAAAAGTCAATAAAAAATATCAAGAAACCATAATCAATTTCTGATACTAAAATAGTCTGATACACACTCATTAAAGCAATCAAATTATGAGATCTTGGGCTGCAATTTGAAAAAATTGTAGACCTATAAATTCCCACTGTCATCCAGTTGTCCTTCCTTAATCTTGAGAACAGAGTTAGATATATAAAAGTCAAGGTTAGATATGGGAAACTTAAGGGCAGGAGGCCCGATTAACTAAATAGGAACTTTGATGAAAAAATCAGAAGTTACTTTATTTCAATTCAAAGCTTTTCTTTTGAAAGGAGTAAGATAAATGACAGGCAAGACACTACAGTACTAATTTGAGGTGGAGAGCATATATTTTAAATTAAATAAATTAAAAATATGATAAAAAATTGCAGCTGGCATTGCGACCATGTCACAATAAATAATTGCTTGTTTTTTTAATGTTCCATTTTTATAATAAAAAATGGAACATTCAAAACAATTATTTCAAAAAATTTGCTCGAGTCAAAATCTTATTAGATAACACAGATTAAAAATATGATTTATAAAAAAATTATCATCATCTCAACAGGATTAGTCTCTCTCTTCAAAATTAAGCTATCTTTGGATTTCAGCTCCATTCAAAGATTTTTAGATTAGAAATGATAAAATTATTTTCCTCCAGCACCTTGGAAGCATTAATTAAATAATAAAGATTATTCAATATATATAATGAAAAAGTAAAATTTTAATAAGAGAAGTTACTAGAAATATTTACTAATCATTCTTAAGTTAGAAAAAGAAACACTTGATTCTAATATTAATTAAATAACTCAACACTGATTTAATAATAAACAATCAGAATACAAAGTACAATTTGTATCTTAGCATATATACCATCCAAGAATAAAAAAAATAACATGAAATAACGCATTTTACTTATGTATGAATTAAAACAACATAGTTTATGTTGTTTTAATTCATACATAAGTAAAATGAATTATTTCATGTTGTTAAAAAAAAAAATGATTAAAAAATAATTTCTTTCTAATTTTAAAGAATAATTTTAATTAAAAGAATGTTTCATTGAAAAAGGCAGTTCAAATATTAATAAAATGTTTTATATGTAACTTAAAAGAACAAAATTAAAATTTAATATAATATCAGGAACTTATATAAGCTGAAATACTGAGTTTGAAATAACTTACTGAAGGATCTAAAGATATGATTCTGACAGTATTATCTGCAAGGCCAACAGCTAGAAAACGAGATCTCTGTTCTCCAATGGGAACACTAGCAAGTGCCATACATATTACATCAATTGACATTTCCTTCCTGTCGGTATATTCATTTAGTTGACCAGACTATAATTAAATAACAAAACATTAACACACACAATACATTTTTAAAACTGAATACATAAAAATCATATTTACAGGATCCATTTCAAAATAAACTAACTCTCCACCAGTTAAAGCAATAACTACTTGTCTTTGATTAACAGCACATTTTACAATGGTTTTCTTTCCAGGAGTTTTCCATTCGTTTACTCTTTTGTCTGCTCTTATATGACGAATTCCATCTGGGTATATCTGAAAAAATAAAATAAAATAATAACAACAACAGAACAATAGAGCTGAAAAATTAATAGTACTTTTCTCTAATACATAACTGAATCTTCCTGTTGGAACATAATAATATAATTGGTAAATTATTTATTAACAAAATAAAGATTTATTGTTTAATTTTCTGGCATTTTAAGCTTATATATGGAGATCAAACTGAAAGTTATAAATAAAAGTTTAAAATCTAAAATCCCCTATAAGCTAGATGCATAACTGAGACTATCATTAATAAAAATTTTGTAACATATTATTAAACATATTGTAATTGTTAGTGATGGGACAATACCAAAATTTCTGCTGAATACTCCCAATTCAGATTCTTTTAAATACAGTACTTTCTAAGTTTATTTTAGTTTAGAAAATTAACAATTTACATTACGAGCATGGTACACTCATTCATTAATAAACATCCAGCTGAAGAATGGAAAACGATTGGAAAATCCAAAATTAATCTTTCAAATAAAACGTGAAAATTCTCCATTTATAAGTTGACATGCATGCTTTTATTGTATACAAAATAAATTTGTAATCTTATTTTAGATAAAGTTAATATTGCAACACTAACCCCAAACAAATTACAACTAATTAATGCACTTTTACCCGAATAACTATCCCATTGCGTCATGTTGGGTCGCCATCTTTGGATACTGCTTCACTGGCCAATGTGAAGACAGCAGGGAGAAGATACATGAGTACATGAGAAGATGGTTTTTTTTTTTTTTTTCTTTCTTTCACACTTCTCACAATGGGCATGTTTTGTAAAGGATTTAACTTCATCATATTTAATACTAAATAAAGTTGGCAAATGAGCTGAACAAATATTGTCACGAGTTAACCAATTTTTGAATTCATTCACTTGAGCCATATATGGACAAACTCATCTTGAAAATCAATTTTTTTAAACTCAAAACGACATTAAACAGCACAAACAAGTATTTTTATTCAGAATCATGCAAATTTCATTTGAAAATTTAACGTATTACCAGCACATTTATGAATCATCATAAAATGACTTTTTCATTATAATCATGAAAGTTTTTATCATTATAAGTAAATATAAGGTAATAAATATTAAAAACAATTTTATATAATATTGTTTCAATTAAATTATAATTTTGTTTACATGTTAAACTGTTTTGTCAATCGCTAGCCTGATAGTTCAATCAATGTTAAATCACTTATAATTAAAATTTTTTAAAAGCAGGAAAATTTATGAAACTATTAAAAAATTAAAATAAATTTAAATTTGATTATCTTTTATGCAAAACAACACTAAAACAATTTCTATAGTCATGTCACAAAAGAAAAAAGAGAGTTGCAATTAATTAAAAAATTGGAATTAAGGATTCAAAAAATGCAGGCAAAATTAAATGAATAAAAATTATTGAAAATAATTAACACTCTGGCCTTTACACCAAAACCAAAATCAAAATAATTGAAAATCAAATTAATTTTAAATTTATATTGTTTATGTGAGGTGGTAATGCCTCATGTAAACTTTGCTTTTAACATTTAGCTTTTAATATATGGGGTGTAACAAAAATGTGTAAAAAATTTTAAAGGTTGTAGAGGGTTAATAAAGTTATATTTATTACATTAACCTATATTAATATAAACCATATAATATGTGCAACATTTTCTTAAAATACTTTGAAATAATTCACAATAAATAAACAATTCTTAACAAAAAAAAGGGAAAACTTTTGAAAATCAAATAACCCAAAGGGAATATAGCTTTATGCTTAATGTCTGGTCAATTTACTAAATTAATCGATATTTATCAGGTTGTGCAGCCATTTTAATTATTATTCATAATGGAACTACGAATAATGACCTATTAATTACTTGGCCCATAACATATATATATATACATATAACTAAAAATAATTGTATTTTGATAATTATTTTTGTTAATAAAATTTTTTATAGGTTAAATAAATAAAAAGGGGAACTTTGCTAATAATTACTTAAATATTAATTCAACAAACAGATTATTTACATTTTATATTTATATTTTCACATATGCTTAAAATTTATGCTTAAATAAATTACCTGAACTAAAGCATCATCACCAATTTGAGCACAAGAGAGTGTAGGTGTGGTACCAAGAAATCCTGAATCTGTAACTTCTTCAACAGTTTCTCCAATAGATAATACCAGAGTTGCATTAACGAATGATACAATGATATATGCATCATATTCATCTTAATATATAAAAAAATAAAATTATAAAATTATTATAACTGCACATATATATATTATTCTACACAAATATATACATTATTCTACATACCATCAGATTTCTTTTTTACAGTCCAAACAGCATTAGGATTACCAGGTAACTCAGAAACAGCCATTTCTGATACCTAAATGCAACAAAAATCACATATTTCAACATTAATAATTAGTTATATTCTAAAACAAATATGTCAAAATTTAAAGCTACTTTAATATTTTAAAACTGTTTAATGAAATATTCAACTAAACTTTTGTTGTAAGATTTAAGGCCAGTTCATATGTTGTGAGAATGGAAAAGAGAACAGAAAACAACACTAAATAGGTTTAGTGCACAACACTTCATACATTACTTGTGACATAATTCCATTCTCTAGTTAGAGAGAGAAGTTAACAGAAGTTCTACTTTTCTCTGTTAACAGAAGTTCTACTAATCATCATCATACTCCGAGTAAATAATAGTGCAAAGTAGATGGAAATATTTTATAATTTTTTTCTAAAATTAAAGTTGAAATTTTAAGAGAATCATTTTATCAGACATATAAAATATTTGTAAATATTTTATATGTCTGATAAAATGATTCTCTTAAATATACAAATCTACAAATATAAAATATTTGTAAATATTTTATATTTAAGATATAAATGAGGAGCTTATTTCTAAGGAAACATAAGCACCAAATTTGTGATATTTGAACTAATGCCATATTACTCATTGCAAACTCTATTGTTTATGTAAAAAGTGTGTCAAATAGGCCCAAGTCAAATTAGAAAAATAACCTCTAATTTACATTTTGTTTACAAATGGGCATATATCCATTCTACTGTAGTTCCAGGTGGACATACTAATGGAAGTGTATGATCATATTACATAATTGCAAATGTCTGCTTGAAAAATAATGTATTACATGGTAAGAATGTTATGATGTTGTAAGATTTTCTTTTTAAATTATTTAATAATTAAACAGTTATTTAAAATAATTATTTTAAATCTATGTGACTAAAATTACCATTTTAAATATGGCATTATTGACTAATACAATACTGGCTACTAGTAGTTTGGAAGACAAAACAACGATACTGTCCAAAAAAAGTAAAAGTAAAAAAAAGAAAAGAAATCCTGTCAAATGGAAAAAATGAAAGAAAAATTCAGGTGACTGTAAAAGGTTCCCATCCTGCCCCACAGATTTCTTGTAACTATGCAAAAGATATACTGGTAAGTCTACTTGGTTTTGTGAAGTTGATATATTATTGAATGATGACATAATCCACTTTCATAATAATTTGTACAACAATTCATATAAACAAAAGCAAAATGCAATAATTCTTTCCTTTATTTCAATTCAACCAGAAAAAAAAAAGCTAGATAAGCCAATGATGCTAATGCAACTGAACATATTGTGACTAATTCATATATGATAACTATGTTTTAACACATTTGTATCATTTTACTATAAGTAATTTTTTAATAATAATGGTTAAAAAATATCCCAGTAACACATTTATCCTGATTATTTTAAGTTCCTAAATTTGCATGACTACACTGTAAAAATCTACTTCACTGCATTTCACAGTACTGACATAAACTCATTATCATATTCCACTTTAAAGAATCTCAATTGACACAGCAGAATACATAGCAGAAAAAACACTTATAAAGTTAGTTTAGATTCTAAAATATTATTAAAGCAAATTAAAGTAAGTAAGTTTTAAAAATTTTGAGATCTGAGATGAACAGATCATAAAAGTGAAGTCTAAAAGCTGATTTAGGACCAAAATGATGTATTTCCAAACTTTCATCCTATAGTTTCACATGTTCTATGTAATGTGGATTTTCTAAATTTGTTGTGGATATACCAAAAACTGGCATTGTAACTCTACTGATATTAGCTGAAAAGAATATTGCCTGTTTTTTAAAGTTTGAATTAACTGCACTTACATTCATAACTTGTTCAAATATTCTGAGATCAGTTACAGAAAATGATTAAAGGCTCAATTACTCTGATTAGATGACTAAAAAGATATTCTTCTATATATAGTTAAGAATTTATTACTAATAATTATATAGAGATTTAAAATAATTACTTCTAATCCATGTCTCAAAACACGCAATGAAGATCTTGGTCCTCTTCCACATACAGTATACAACTGTGGTGTGTCTTCATTAGCCAAATCAGCAATATGGCAAGTCATGATTGGTGACAAACTTTCAAGTTCATCTACCAAAACAAGATTCTTAAGTGGACGAGGAGCAAAGAAGAATGTATCACCTTCTTCCAGTGGCATAGCACTACTAAATTCTGGCTCATCATCATCATCACCAAGATGAGCAATTTGATATAAATAGCTGAAAAATGTATTCAATTTTATTTTTAAAATACAGATATTAATATAAATAGTAAATGAAATACATACTGATTTCCAAATTCAGAGGCAACAAATAAAAATCCAGTTTTCAAAACACACATAGCTGAAGCCACAGGTACTGTGTCAAAATATTTCAGTTTAATTTCTGTAACCTAAAAAAAAGTTTAATTATTTTAGAAATCATAAAATAGCTTATAATCAATATCTTATTTAAATTTATAACTTATTTTTATAAATAATGAATCATAAAATTAATTTTATAATAGTAGTTTTTGATTTTAAAAAAAATGCTACTAAATATTGATAGTAAGTAGTAGTTTTTCTTTCTTCATTAATCATTATAATAATAAGAATTAATAACAATACAATCTAAAAAAAACTAAGTATTTTGAATCAATTTCATGAAATGACTAGCTTGTTACCCATGACTTTGCCCGTGCAGATTTTGCAAGCAAACACCATTTATAATCAGTATTTCAACAACCATAGTAATTGTTATATAACACCTACTGTTAAGAATAATCAGAATTGCTGAGAATCAAACGAACTGTTTTCAATTTGATCAATTTTCTGGAATGTTTACAATTGTTCTATAATTGAACCAATATGCAAAAACAAATTTGAATTTAAAACGGTTTGAACATTTTTAAAATCAAAATAGATAAAAATATTTATAACAATGTCTGAAATGTTATCAATTTAATACACCTAAGTATTCAATGAAGACTAAACATAATTGAAAACAAAAAATTGCATCTAAAATAGTACAGTAGAAGCTGTCAGGTTAAGCCTTAATCCTTTCCCTCTCCCTCGTGGGGGAAAATTTCGTAAAATCCCTTCTTAGTGTGTGTTTTCACGATGTACCCTGTGTACCAAATTTCACCTCTTTAGGTTCTAGCAGTCTGCTCTGGGAGACGATGAATCAATCAGTCAATCAGTCAGGACAAGTAATTTTATACATTTAGATAAACAAACAAGTAAAAAAAAAGCTACTCTTAATGATTATTACACCACACTCATAATTAAATTTTTTTTCTGAAAGATTTTTTGTTTTCATATTTTTTTTTATTATTCAATAATCAATAATTAAATTTTTATTTTTCTCTCCATTTTTATTGAATTCTGCTAAAATTCTCTATTTCAAAATTTCTATTATATGGATTTATCTATCTATTTATTCTCAATAAAAAAAACAAATCAATTGAATTATATTGTTATTGAAATTCAAATTAAGTTAATTCTGTAGTGGCTAACCAAAGCAATCGAAGCATTAGGTTTTTGATCACTAAGATAAAAAAATCCACAGGATTTTTGAAGGAATTTGTCCATTATATCAAGCCCATCTCTCACAAACTCACAGTAGTCATATATCATGTAAAATACTTTTTTAGATCATAAATAAAAAGTATAAATAATATACAACATATTTTAAAAAATGAAACATTATATATTTACACACATAAAAACACAAATATTTATATGTATATATGTAACTGTGCTTAAAATGATACTACAAATATAACAAAAACAACATGAATTGAAAATAGTGACTGTCATTTTAATTTATAGATAAAAATTTCTCAAATATTAAATAAATAAATTATATGAAATTAAGAATCTAAGCTAAATACATTACCATATCTTCATCTGCCTCCAAAGTAACTTTAAAAATATCACCTTGCTCAGTTTGTGCAAGAAAGAAAAACATTGCCTAAAATAATAAATTTTTAAACTTAAAAAATGCAAAAAAAAATGATAATTAAATATTTTATATTTTTCAGAATATCTTTTTAAAACTTTTGTATTTATCACAATCAACAACATGCTACTTCACTAGATAATCATCAAACAATTGTATTCATCAAAATGGCTTAAAAATGTAAATAGCTAACTTTTCATATTCACCACGACATAAGTCAAGACGCAAGTGAACTGAGTTTTAAGTTGCCATGAAATACAAATTGTTTATCATCCATCAGAGAAGCCATTATTAATTGTGCTTCGATTTTACACTACTGAAATTTTTCAGTGAACTGTGGTTAATCTTTCATTAACTAATCAACCAGCCTGTTGCAAAAGTAATAAATCACATTTCTCAATGTATTGCACAACTGAAGCCAGATTTAATTAATATATATGCTGCAAACTGAACAGGAACAACAATATGTCAGAACAGTTTTCTCTTATTGGATATGGCATTTGTTTTTTGTTAACTTTTCAATAAGTTCTAATAATAATTCTTTATCATTAGTAGTATAACTTTTTAATTTTCCATAATAAAAATGTTCAAAATCACTTTGCTAGAATAGTTAACAATTATTAAACAAAGAGCACATACATTTTTATTTACACATGGCAAAACTTTGCCATCTGTTTTCATCAAACACACCAATCCTGATAACATTTTTTGACTTAAGACAAGAATTAGTCAAGCTTGCATCAAATAATTTGGTAAATATAAAAGTATGAGTCACAGCTCAGATTGACTGAACCTAAGATCATATGAGTTTTGTTTTGAGAGTCAGTTGAATATGGCGACAGAGTATTGTCAATAAGATTTCTTTTATTTGTAAATTAGTCAATAACAAACTTTCTTATAGTCATCTAATAATAGAAAAACAAAGTATAATGTAAACTGATTACAGTAGAGCGTCGATTATCTGAAAGTCAATTATCCAAAAGAATTCCAGTCTGCAAATTTAAATTTTCGCCAGTGCTGTGGCGCTGCAATTTTTAGCTGTTTTGGGCTACTCAAATATTTTACATTTTTGATACTAAATTAACTTCTGAAGTATAATTTTTTATTGTTTTTATATTTTTCAATATATTTATTTTGTTTGTACAAAATAAAAAAGTAATTTTTAATGATACAATAGTCTTCGTTAGGCTTAACATCGACGAAAATTCAACGTGAAGCGATATGCAATGGAGAAAAATTTAAACATGGGATAGGTTAATATATTTTTTCGTACATAATCAGTTATCCAAAATATCGATTTTCCGAGCAACCCCAGTCCCCAATTGATTCAGATAATCGACGCTCTACTGTTCGATGCTCTATTCATAATCTATTAACTAATTTTCTATATTTTAATCCTATCCAAATCATATCTAAATCATGATTCAGAACAAAAATGAGAATTTATGAATAATGTATTCATTAATTAAAGTATGAAAAATTATTTAATAGATTTAAGCTTTAATTATTCTTGTTCTTAATCAGGTATGATTCAGAAACAGTTCTGAACAAAAAAAATGCTTTTCTATTCAGAACTGCTCTTCCATTATTGCTTACCAATAATAGAAAAGTAGTAATAACTGTTTATTATTTTCTTACCTTGGTTTTATGAGTTGCACTGCAAACAAATATCATACCTCTCTCTGGATCATCAAGGTCATTCTAAAATTAAAATAATCATCTTAATTCAAACTAAATTAAAAGTATTTTAATATACAAGCATATGTCAATCTAATATATAATAATATGAAATAATTCATAAATTTCATTAAACAGAATTTAAACTTAAATTGAAATAAATTTCAAAAATGTAGTTAAAATTATAAAATAAAAAAAAAACATTAAAATATTTTTCAAATGTTACAGAATTTGAATTTAAAAAATTGGAGACAAAAGTAAAATCAAGATAGCAAGCATATTAAAATGTTTTTCCTGATTTAATTTAATTATATGTAGAATATGTAAATAATACGTAGATAAATTTCAGCTTATATTTAAGGAAATAAGAAATCAAATCTGTAATTTTTACTTACATGAATATTAATTGTTATACTAACATTTATTAAAATATGACATCAAGACTCATAAAAATTTACATAGTTTTATTATTTTGCAAACAGACATTATAAATATTAATAACTATTTTACAAAAACTTTATGAAAAATTCTATTAAAAATAAAAAAGTTACTACTCACTCTTCTTCTTGGAATAGGACATCGAATATCTAACTGATCACCAAAGTTTTTGTAAGTTATATAATTTTCTGAACAAATTAAAACTCCACTAGGACCATCACTGCCACCTGGAACTATAGTTTAAAAACAAATATATTAATTAAAAAGTAAAGTATTTTTTATTGTGGAAAACTATAAACATTTATCCAAAATATATTAAAATGTTCTTATAAAATATAGTTTTAAAACCTTTGATTGATAGAGATGAAATTTTACATCTTATAATTTAAAAAAGCATTTTTTCTAACATACAAAATAAATAGTATATGAAAAAAAATTTTTTCTTCTGTCTTATCTATTAAAAATTTTATTTCAAACAAATTTTACGAATAATCATATTATTATATCTGTTTATTCATATTATATCATTTGTTTCTAAATCTCCTATGACATAATTACATGATACTACTACATACTACCTTTATTCAAAACTACTTGTTGATTTATAAATTAAATAAATATAAAATTTGGTCTACAAGAATATACAGTGGAATCTCTATATTCATAATATTCTATATTCATCACATTTTGATGACTTTTCCCACCCATATTGGTCAGTATTTTCTGTATTCATTGTCATCCCCAACAACGACAGTGGCACTACAATTGCACGCCCATGCCGATCAGCTAGCCATGTTGCCAATTTAGCTATTTTTGCTAGATTTAGTGGATTTATGAACAAATCTAGCCATGCAAATGACCTAAATTATAATGGCCTAGCGATTTTTATAATGCTATGAAGCTACAAAAAAATCAAACAATTTTAATGGAAACAATACAATTTGAATATTTTTATTAAAATGTCTAGCTAAATATTTGAATTTTAAGTTGGCAACACTATCAACTAGCTGTGGTTAATCAGTTTGCTTTGTGCGGTCATGGTGTGTGTTCTTGATTTCACGTTGATTATTTTCAAAAACTCAAGTTCCAATGGCTCCAACAAAACACAATAAAGAAAAACAGCAAAAAGGGAAAGCAGTTAGAACAATACAGATAAAAAAAATTATTTCTAAGTTGGAAAATGGACAAAATTTTGTTTAAATAAGTTAAAAATAAGTTGGAAAATGGACAAAACTAAGTTGGAAAATAGAGAGGTTGCGGCCAAAGTTTATATCTCTAAAACATGAATGTCAAATATTGAGCGCCGCCATCTTGTAAACCTAGAAGTTTGACAATGGCATTTGGAACATCATTAGAATAATGCTCGATGTTCCAAATGCCATTATCAAACTTCTAGGCTTACAAGATGGCACTCAACGTTCAAACTTTAGAGATGAAAACTTCAGCTGCAATGTCTCTAGTGTTTCCAACTTAGCCAAAGAATTTAATATGCTGAGATCATAATTGGAATTACCTAATGTTTTAATTGATGGTATGTCTTCTAAACAATAATAACCTTACTCTTCTTCCCCTTCTACCACTATACTGTATTTATTTAGCGCAATAAAGATAAAGTTTTACAAACAACAAAATTTTTATTCTTGTATCTTTTTTTTTTAGAATGGGAACAGATTAACTGAATATCAGTTATTTATTATGAGAAAAATTGTTTCTATATTTGTCATTTTCCATATTCGTTAGATCCTTCGGAACAGATTAATGATGAATATAGAGGTTCCACTGTAATTCTAGAATTTATTAATGAGCCCTATTTACAAGCATTCTTTTCTGTTTTTAGTTTTTTTTCTTTAAAATTTTATTTCTGAATTGCATTTTTTCTAATTTATGAATAAAAATTGAATTATTGTAAAGTAGGGTGTCAAAATTGTAAATATATTATGAAAATAATCAATTTCTTTTGTCATGATCTTATTTTAGACTTTATAGGTGAATTTTAGAAAAATGTTAACTTTTATTAAAAATTTAAATTAGTCTTTCTAACTAATAAACAATTCCAATTCAAATAACAAAGTTTTATTTTCACACAAAACAAAATAATAATAATAATTACATAAATATTCATTAAAATTGACTATTGTAAATACTGTTTTTTTTTATGTTTGCTTAAATACTACAACAAATAAATATGATAATAATGATAAAATAATTGTGATGAAAAAAATTCATTAAATTTTGACTATTAATTAATAACACAATTTTAAAGAAATAAATTATTATAACTAAAATTTTTAAGTAATAAAATTTAAACAAATTTAAAAATATATAATAAATTTTCTACCTGATATAAGAAAATTTCCATGTTCTTCTAAAGGTTCACTATATTTCCTGACTACATGATTTAACCCCAAATCAAGTTCATAAAAAGTTAATGTCTGTTGAGTTGTTTGAGCTGCTTCTCCAGTAGGATCGCTATCAGCATCCTAATATTTATTAAAAAAATAATTAATGTGAAAAGTCAACATTTTTATATTGCAAAAATTAATTAATGTTACCTCATAATCCATTTCTAAGCATGCAAACATTGGGTTTTCAAAACCCACATCAACACCCACCATATGATATACTAATGTATTGGATTTGTGGGCTTCCAATGGAGAAGATATGGTTAAATGTGCAGCTGCATCACGATTCAAAATATATACTAATTTTTGTTTTTCAACAGCTCCTATATTTGAATAAAATAATAATAAATAAATAAAAAACAAAACATTATATTTTAATTATTAATTTACAGACAATTTTTAATTTTTTAAAAATATCTTTTAGATTTTATAATGCTTAAATGAGTGTTGACATATGTAAACATAAACATTGATTTTGATACATGATATATATGCACTTAAGAAGCATACTCATTTGTAAAAAGTAAAAATTTTATTTAAAGAATAAAAAGTTCCCTGAACAAATATTCATTTATTTGATAACTGTATGTATCTCATAACCAATAATTTAATATTTAATCATTACCATTATAGCAAAGAATAATAATAAAACAGAATAAGTCAAGAAGATTTCTACATAAACGGGACATTTATACAATTTAGTCAATTATATCTCTGAAATAATTAATTTTATCTGAAAATATCTGTTTACTTTGAAAATTCTGCACCAACTCAGTTAAATTATTTTTAAAATTACTTTCTTTCTAAAATATATTATTACATTAATTATTGCATTAATGTTTTAGAATATATTGGTTTTCAAACAATTTTTAAGAATCAATTAAGTTCAAAAACCGAGGTTTGACTGTAATATTCTCCTTTGCTACTGCATAATGTTTGTACTATATCTACAGCATCCAAGTTTTAGGTGGCTAAAAGTTGAATATGTTTCATTTTAATGACATAGTTACCAATCATGACAGCTCTACCCTTTGGATCAATAGCTAAATATTGTCCTGGAACAATTCTCCGACAACCACTTTTACCAAAAGTTTCCTGATGAACCTAGAATAATCAAAGCAAATAAATTAAAAACTGAAGATTATACAAAATTTGAATGCATAATAATATTTACTTATATTAAGAGTAATTTCTTGACCCAATACAGCTTGATCTAAATAATTATTCTAGCAGTAGATTATGCAAAGATTCAATCAACACTTATTGCAATGAGACATAGTAAGCAGTAAATTACAATAATATCCTAACACATTACATTACATTAAAGGAGTAGAGGTTGTCTGTATATGCACAGACTTTACCTCTAAGAAATTAGAAGTGTTGAAATTGAAATTAGAAGAGGAAGTGATAGTAAGTAGGGAGGGAAAGGAAATAGGGAAAGATTGAAGGGAAGTGTCGGATCATTGAGTGTCTGCATCAGAATTGTTGAACAAGTAAAATACATAAAAAATATCCTAACACACAAATCTAAAAACATTTTACTTATTTCTAGATTGTTTAGTTTAAATTGATAATCTGTTCAGTTTTTAAACTGATATGCTTTTTCAGTGTTATTAATTACTAGAATGTACAATCAAACTAAGCCTTATTTAGACAAAAAACAATTTGAATTCTTTGTTAGAGAGTTAATGGACATCTAAACACATTACAACCCATTCATACATAGAGTTGAATTGGCCTGTTGGCATTTTTGTATTTAGTGTCTCCTGACACAAACAAGATTCCCCATCATTTTCTGATCTTTGATTAATCAAGTCAAAACACTCAGCTTATATAAGAAACAGAAAGAGAAAAGAGGAGGAGAAACATGACAAGATGTATAAGCTAAGACCCCTCTTAAATTATTGGTCAAATAGCATCTATGTGCTGTATGATACTGTAGAATAGTTTTGTAAATACAGTCGACCCCCCTATAACGTGCGTTCCTATAACGGAAATTCCTATAACGTAGCGAAAAAATTGCAGCAACATTCGTTTAAAGGAACTCCTAAAACGTCATCGCTGACTCATTTCGCGACAAGATTGATAGAATCTGGACCAATAGTGGATGAGCAGCCGAACTACTTTCCTCCGACCCTGCGCCACGCTACGGAGCGGCTAAATTGAGTTTGCTATCGTCTGTTTAGTATTATATATAAATTATATATAAATTAGGTACTGTACATATAATTATATATTAATTATATATAAATTAGGTACTGTATATATAATTATATATTAACTTAATTTATTGTAACTTTATTATAATTATATATATGCTTTCTGCCGCCTGGCAACACGCTACGGAGATTTTAGGCTAGTAAGTTGAGTTTATTATCGTCTGTACAGTATGTAAATTAGGTACCGTAAGTCTAATACAGCACTAATTTTATACATTTCTTGTGAAAGAAACACTTCTTATTCAACGGCCATAAAAATTATTTATATTAATGATGTCTCCAAAGGTCAAGTTATTTTTATGCGAAAAATTCGTTATTAGAAATCGCGGCCGCCGTTTAATGTGCTGTTCCGCGATGAAAACCAGCTTTAAGCAACGGCATAGTCGAACGGTACACACTCGGTAAGTAATCCTATAATTTTTTGTTTATAGCATAGTTTATACGGATTATTCCCAAAAAATTATACATGTTTTGGAAATGTTGAGTGGAATTAGTTTAGAATCGGTTAATTTTATAGAAGAAAACCTTTCAAACAGCCTTAGTCCGTAAACTTCCCACCTATCGGGCTGCGATTGGCTCATGTATTTAATCACTCCTACAACGTAAAATTCGATTAACGTGGAACGTATCTAAGTGTTATAGGGGGGTCTACTGTATATATAACATTAACAACCCAATTTATTTGCATCACTAAACAATCTGCTGGTTAGCCTTGAGCAATTTCAAGGCAAGTAAATAAATTAAATACAAATCAATTTCACTAGAGGTAGGATGTTATGTTGCTATCTCATGATAAATTTAATAATTAGAAATTAATTAATTGTAATTTAGAAAATTCTAGAATAAAAGAATCAGCCCAGAATTTAATTTGGAATATTATTCCAGAACATATCTAAGCTCTCAATTTCATTATAGATACCACTACAATTGGTGAAAAACATCTTTTACCAACTGTAGTGATGGCTATGATGAAATCAATAGCCCCATCTTGTAACCCCTTGGAGTCTAACATTTTGGTTCAATGACTTTATAGGATGCATATTTTTATAGATATTTCAGTGGATTGATTAAAATGGACCACCCTGTATAGTTTTTGCTGTTTTTGTTTCCTTTATGTTTAAATTTTTATTTTGTGTATCAATTCAAAATAAAATTTGTTATAATAAAACTTTTTTATTTTAATTTAAAGCCTGTGCTTAATTCATTGTACAAATATATTATAATACAAATAAAATGTTTTGATATATAAAATAATTAAAAAGTAGTTTTCATAATCATATTTTTTACAAATAGGTCCCAGGAATTCCCAGAAATAGAAAAAATTGTCTCAGAAACAGAAAAATAACCAAGACTCAGAAACCCTAGTATACACTGATTTTCAAAATTATCAATTATAAACAAAAAATAAGTAAAGTTTTGTTCTTTATTATGCTTTATCCACATTTACAACACAACCTATTTATCTCTGATATTCAGACAAATACAAAAATTTGCACTAAACCTCAACAACTTTTTCCTTTATTATTACTTAAAGCAATTTTTGATCTAACAAAAATAATTTGTATAATAAACAATAAATATCTGAAGTACAGTTTAATAAATAATTCTAGACATAATGAAAAATTTCCAGGTACAAGCAAATTATTAATTTGTAAATATGTAAAGTTATGTACACTTATTTGAAAATGCTATAAATATTGTACTTCATTAAGATTTTAATTTTTAACAAAAATATGAATCTTAACCGTTAAAGTTTATTTAACATTTTAAAACATCCACATCATTTTTTAAATTTTCTATTTGAAATAATTCGTTAAAAATAATTTTGAAATGCAATAGTTATAAAATAAATTTTAAAGAAAACTATAAAAAATGATTTTTCATTAGATAGAACAAAATAAAATAAAACTGTTACCTTTTCAAAAATATTTTTTTGTGGAATGTATTCAAGTATCACAATTCGACCAGAATCTGATCCAATCACGAGGTAATCTGAGGATGAAATAATCATAAATATTAATTTTCATAAAATATCAAAATTAATTTAATTATCATCATTATTAAAAATACACCAAATTATATCAAGTTCTTAATTAATACATAAATGAAATAATTTGAATTTAAGTGAGTGCTTACATTTAGAAAAACAAACTTCAAATATCATTCCAGTTTGTTTTTTTAAATTAATTAATTACTTAAATAATTAAAGTATCAATTGATCAATAGATGATAACATATTTTAATATTAAATTATTCCAATTATTAATTATTTTATTATAAAAATCAGGGCTGTGGAGTCGGAGTCATGGAGTTTTGGTCTTTTGGCCGGAGTCAGAGTCGTCAAAAAATCTGCCGACTCCGACTCCCTTTTTACTTACCAACTTGTTATTTATATGAAACAGAGTCAGAGTTGGAGTCAATAGATTTTTATGCGACTCCGCAGCCCTGATAAAAATAGTAATTCAGTAGAGTTTTGATAAATTATTAATAATTTACTTCCTTTAAGTGGTTGGTGTTTTCAAAAATTAATATAATTATTAATGAAAATTAATGATTATAGATTAAATTTTTGCAACATTGATGATAATTTATTCATTATACAGTAAAAACTACAAAAGGCAAAAACCTCCTTAAAATGAAAACTTATGAAAGGCAGAAATTTGCATTTATGCCAATATTAATGTCAAATTTTTTCCTACAAAATAACATTCCTAAGGCAAAACCTGTAAAATGTGAACAGAATGCTATATACATTATACAGCTGCTTTAATACATGTTAGTTAGAACCTGTAAGACAGAAATCTAAGTAAGTATTGAATTGAAAAGTTTAACAAAAATATTAGGTATAAAATCAACAAATCAACTCTACTGATATTTGTTTTGCTTGTGTCATAATGGATTTTATGGAACAGTTTAGTTAGATATCATAACTGACATTAGCAAGTTTGTAAATTATTTTAAAAAAAAATAATAATAATAAATATGATTAAGGTATAACAACACCTCAGCACAAACTCAGTTAATATGATTAACAAGAACCTAATTTAGAATGAGCAAATATTTATTGTGGCATTGTCACAGTGCCAGGCTGCAATTTTTAATCATATTTTTGATTTAAAATATACAAGGTGCGTTCCATAAGTAATGCGACTAATTTTTTCATGACATGACGATATGCCATAGCTAGTTCTAACTTGCTGTGCTAGGTGGTGTGAGGTGTTAGCTTCAAAACTCGCCCAGTCTTGTTTGCCTCCAAGCTGCCGGCATGTGAGGACGTTTGTTCCCGTGAACCCCGTTTTGAGTTAATGTAACACAGAATGATGTATCATTTTGTGGAGCAACATCACGCTATCAAATTTTACGTTAAACTTGGGAAGTCCGCCACCTAAACTTTTACATTAATTCAGCAGGCCTTTGGGAGTGATTGCTTCTCCAAATCACAAGTTTTTCAATGGCACAAGTTGTTCAAGGATGGCCGAGAGGAGGTCACAGACAAACCTTGCAGTGGATGTCCATCAACCTCCCGAATTGTCTTCTTTGACATCAGAGGCATTAACCACCATGAATTCGTATCTGTCAGGACCACTGTAAATGCAGCTTTCTAATTGAAAGTGTTCAAAAGACTGAAATCCTAGTCACGCGCTGCCGAAGGACATCAAGGACACACGGAAATTTCATCACGACAACGCACCAAGCCACAGCACCTTCACTGTCAACGATTTCCTAGCCAGGACCCACACACCATTGGTTCCACAGCCACCTTACAGTCCTGATCTGGCTCCTGCCAACTTTTTTTTTGTTTCCCCGCATGAAAGGGAAACATTGGGACACGATTTAAAACATCAAGGCTTATGTTACATCAGCTCTAAAGGACATTCCAGAGAAGGCCTTCCAGGCCTGGAAACACCGCCTTCACAACTGTATCGATGCAGGAGGGTGCTATTTCGAAGATTTTTGATTAATTGTAAAAATATGTTCAATAAATGATTTTTTATGAATTTGGTCGCATTACTTATGGAACGCACCTTGTATGCTCTCCACCTCAAATTAGTAGTGTCTTGCCTCTGTACATTTATCATACCTTTCCTGTTAGCAATAGACTCATGCCAGTCATCTAACTCCTTTCAGGAAAATTTTTGAATTGAAATAACCTGATTTCCAGTTTGCATCAGAAGTTTGTATATAGATAATCAAGCCTCCTGCCCCAAAACTTCCTATATCTGATCTCAGCTTTCATCTATCTAACTTCATTCTTGAGATTACGGAAGAGCAGGCAGACAGATGACAGTGGAAATTTATAGGTCTACAATTTTTTCAAATTGTACCCAACAACAAAGTAAAATTTGTTAAAAACTAGTAAACTTTAACAAGTAATATAAAATACATGCATTAAATCTTACAACAGATTTAGTATGACAAATAATAATCTTTTAGCTGTGAGCTACAATTCTGGACCAACTGAGAGCTGAGCTTACCATCAAAATCCTGAGCTGTAGCTCAGCTCAGCTCATTTGGTATAACTCTACTTAAGAGTACTGAATGGAATCTAAAAATGTATACTTTTAGTGAAACAACACACAGAAGTTTCATTTAAAACAAATATATATTTTTTTTCATTTGGCATAAAGAAGGTACAGAAAATAAAACATGCATTCATCTATATAATTATAGATGAATGTATGTTTTATTTTCTGTACCTTTTTCTTATTTATTTTGAGGTCAATTCAATGATTGTAGCAACCTACTATAGCTAGACTAAAAATTGATAAAAAGTACATACACATTTTGAACCAATAATTACTTTCCTGTACTACTGCCTAAAACAGAAAGCCTGCCTAATTTGGAAAGTTCCCATGTAATTTTAGCTTTCACAAGTTTTACTGTATATAAAAAAATAAACTGACAATTAAAATGCTAATTATGATAATTGAAAACTATGTTACAATAATGAAAAAAGAAAAATATACAAACATGTTTCATTTTTGTAATAATTTAGAGATATAAATACATCTTATTTTAAAATTATTCACCTTTAGAACCACCTGTCAATCTAAATGCCATCATCGATCTTATTACTCCAAATATTTCAACTGTAAGTAATGTATGTACTTTTCCTGTATTTGCATCTGGTCTTAAAAGTTCCAGAATTTTTCCTCTAGAAACAGCAATTTCTTGTTGTTTTGTACCAGAAAAATTACCATGAACAGCATGTGTTATGCCAGTAGCTCTCTGAAGCGTTAAATTATAGAGAAACATTTCTGTATTCCTAAATTCCAATTACGTCCAATACTGTAAAAAGAAATAAAAACAACTCATTAGAATATTAAATTTGATTTTATAATTAAATTAAATATTCTAATTAAGTAAAATTATATACGGAATATTAAAAAGTATAATTATTATATTTGAATATATATAAAAAGAGTTGTAATAATTTTTGATTAGCTAGATTCTACAAATTATCAAAATCTACTAGGCTATTATTGAGATAAGTACAGGTATCCCTTGTACAACACGATTTGAAAATTGAGAATATCCCTGTACAACACTACTTCTGGTTTCACTCTAACACAGTTTTGGAAATTCTCCATACAAAATTTCATAATTTTTAAATTTAAACTTCATTATTCAATATTTTTTTTATTCAAGTGAGCATGAGTGTCATCTCAAATTTGCCTGTGTATTTTACAATATTGAAATTTTCAAATTATTTTGTGCTTTTCGTCAGGTTTACCTTAATGAGAACTGATAAGACAAGGAAAAAAAAAATTGCACTAACTTTCCTATCAACCAGGTGTCATTGTTGTTGCTTTCAGACTTTAGTCCTTAAGATTGTAACTGTGTTTTTTTTTTTATAGATTAATCTTTGTAAAGTTTATTTAAACATTTTTTTAGATAAATAGATTTGTTAAATGTTTTTTAACTGTAGGTATTATTATTTATAGATGATTGCTTTGTTTGTAAAATGATAAACGAAATACAGTGGTGTCTTGTTACTTGAACAATTTGATATTCAAACACAAATTCTGGAAAAAAGTTGTTCGGTACTCAATTGAACAAACATAACCCACTAGAACAAATTTTTGATTAATAACATACAGTAATATCCCGCTTAATGCAAGGGATGTGTTCCTAGACAACAAAGCACTAAGCAAAACAGCATTAAACGAGGTCATTTTAACACAGAGTAAATAGGGATAGGGGAACATGCGACCAAAAATAAACAAATTTTACTTTAATTTTAAGTTATTTTTATATTAATTTGTATAATAATATATGTTAAATAACACAAACATATGCACACAGAAATGTAAAGTTCATTTTTTGTGATGAAGGTCCTGACTTTTCTGAAATTCTTGTTTTTTCGCAATAAAGTCATGAAGTTTCATTTGTTGCTTTTTTCTTTCCTTAAGCAAATGTCAGTAGCAGAAGATCGCATCCAAAATGCCTCGTTTTGCTCTTGCACTCCTTTCAAAATCTGAATCATTCGCTACAATTTGATCAATGATTTCGATTATCTTACCAAACTTTTAATAAAGAAATCTGTAGAGAAATTTTTTTGGTTTTTCGTTTTCAGAATCTCTATTTTCCAGTTCCACATGAATTTCATGTTCTGTCAGTTATTGAAGGTCATCATTGGTAAGGCTCTCACCAGAAACCTGCTGTAACTCCTCAATATCCTGCTTGTCTATATCTCCTAGTCCTGCTATATCGATTAGGATGAGTTTGGTCAACCTAACAATACAGCGATAGGCTCTTCTCGTTGAGAATTCTTGGATGCCTTCAGCCATAACTTCTTCTACACTTTGTGCATTTATCAGTTAATTCTTGCCAAGCAAAGCCGTTATTGCCTATGGCATCCATGATGCTATGTTTTTTTTTTTTTTTTTTCAAAATTGCACCAAACAAACATAGATTTAAAGAAAGTACACCTTTTTTGCCACCTTTTGCTAATTTGCTTGTGTTCGCAAATAATCATATTATATACAAATCAATAAAATGCATCAATAATTTAAATCAGTGTAAATTTTGAGCTTTTTTAAGTCTTCGAGCAGACCACGTTATATCAAATCAGTGTTAAGTGAGACAGCATTAAGCGGGGTCTTACTGTATTTTTATTTTGTCATCCATAAAATTTTTTACAATAAAAATAAAAATATGGAAATGTTGATACTCTGATCAAGATCAACAAAAAAAGCTGAGATCACGATGATACTTTGTAAAAAGAAAACATCCAGTCAGCAAATTTAAATTTCCGCCAGTGCTGTGGCACTGCAATCTTTAGCTATGTCTTGGGCTACTCAAATATTTAAATTTTTTGATACTAAATTAACTTCTGAAGTATAATTTTTTTTATTGTTTTTATATTTTTCAATATATTTATTTTGTTTGTACAAAATAAAAAAATAATTTTTAACGATACAATAGTCTTTGTTAGGCTTAACATCAACGAAAATTCAACGCAAAGCAACACGCAACGGAGAAATATTTCAACACGGGATAAATTAATATATTTTTTCGTACACAATCGGTTATCTGAAATATCGATTTTCCGAACAACCCCAGTCCCCAATTGATTCGGATAATCGATGCTCTACTGTATAGCACTTCTAGTTGTGATTGTTAATTAAGCATTGATTGGAAATAAACTATTAATTGCTTTAATAATTTGAAATATAATAAACTAGCAAATGAGCCCGGCATTGCTCAGGCAAACGATTTGGATGATTTGGTAAATATTGTACATTTGGAAATTAAGTTATTACTGTCAAAAACAAAAAATTGCATCTAAAATAGTACTGTAGAAGCAGTTCCTCAGGTTAAGCCTTAATCCTCTCCCTCTCCCCCGCGGTGGAGAATTTCCAAAAATTCCTTCTTAGTGTGCATTCTCATTGTGTACCCTAACTGTGTATCAAATTTCACCTCTAGGTTCAGCAGTTTGCTCTGGATGATGATGAAATAGATTATTTCATTATATATATATATTTCATTGATGATATCATCTTGAAACAAAAGTATAAACTATGGATACTTTCAAGAATTTTATAATTATAAGAAACAAGAAAAATTTGGATTTAATTTATAATAAAAATAATAATTATTAACAACCCTTTGGGCATGTTGAGCATTGTGACATCACTTGGCACGTGTATATGCAGGATACATAATGAAATTAATGCAATTTTCATATTTTTACAGATATATAAGCCTGACTACAATTATATCTTTGATTTTTACACTTTCTGTATTATTTAATAGTATAAAATACTTGTGGGCAGTGCTGCTGTTTATAGGGTAATTTCAATCTCTCAGAGTAATGTTTAGGGTAGTCTTATATATAGGGTAAATCTAGGGTAAAACTGCTCTGTGATCTGATGCTATTACCCATAGCACCACAAGTTTTGCCAAAAAATCTAGGGTAAAACTGCTCTGTGATCTGATGCTATTACCCATAGCACCACAAGTTTTGCCAAAAAAAGTTTGTCTAAAACCATTCTGTTTTCCCCTATAACTAGAAGATTTAAAGATAGAATGGAAGCTAAAGAAATAAAGCAGATTGGTGCTAGGTAGATGGGTGTACACTGTATATTACACCAGAGTAGGATTTCACTTTTCTCAACCTTCATGCCATTAGACTGTATTGCACACTAAAGTACGGGTACAACTTTGTAAGCTACATTTGTGTAAGACATCGCATAGACATTCTTTAAAAACTGAAACAATTTGTAGACTAATGCATGCTCCAGTATTCAAAAGAAAATATTGTTTTATTTGAACCTTCAAACCAGTGTTAAAATGCAAACATGTATGTAAATAAATAATTTTAAAAACTGATCATTTATGTATTAAAGTACGTTTGAAATCAACTGAATGGCTTACAGTAATACCCCGACTTACGCGAACTCGGAGTTACGCGATTTTCAAATCTCGTCGATTCGTCTTTTGTTTGAGTGCCAAGCAACCCTTGATTACTCACTCCCCCACACTATTGTTCAGCTTACATGTTCGGATGTGTCGCGCGGAATCCTCACATAGCTATAATTTATTTTGTGTTATTTATTTCTGTGTTTGTTATATCTACGGAGACTGGAGAGACTTTACTATGTCATCCAAACGAAGTAGAACTAATTCTTCTGCATCAAACAAGAAAAGAAAAACTTTATCTTTGGAATGTAAAGTTAACATTGGGTACATTCGTAAAGTCGAACGAGTTAAACGAGAATGACGTCATCGTTATTCCTATTTCGTTAGACTTTTTGAATGATTCGTTACTAACACGTTTAACTCATTTGACTATGAACGTACCCTTATTAAAGACTTCGATACAAAAATGAAAATTTGTGAATTGGCAAAGAAGTTTGATCTACTGGAATTGTCGGTCAGAACAATTATAAAAGGCAAAGAAAAAATTCTCAAAGCTGTGAAAAATGCTCAATCTTTAAATTCAAGCATCATTCGTAAACGTCACNACTCGGTAAGTAATCCTATAATTTTTTGTTTATAGCGTAGTTTATACGGATTATTCCCAAAAAATTATACGTGTTTTGGAAATGTTGAGTGGAATTAGTCTAGAATCGGTTAATTTTATAGAAGAAAACCTTTCAAACAGCCTTAGTCCGTAAACTTCCCACCTATCGGGCTGCGATTGGCTCATGTATTTAATCACTCCTACAACGTAAAATTCGATTAACGTGGAACGTATCTAAGTGTTATAGGGGGGTCTACTGTATATATAACATTAACAACCCAATTTATTTGCATCACTAAACAATCTGCTGGTTAGCCTTGAGCAATTTCAAGGCAAGTAAATAAATTAAATACAAATCAATTTCACTAGAGGTAGGATGTTATGTTGCTATCTCATGATAAATTTAATAATTAGAAATTAATTAATTGTAATTTAGAAAATTCTAGAATAAAAGAATCAGCCCAGAATTTAATTTGGAATATTATTCCAGAACATATCTAAGCTCTCAATTTCATTATAGATACCACTACAATTGGTGAAAAACATCTTTTACCAACTGTAGTGATGGCTATGATGAAATCAATAGCCCCATCTTGTAACCCCTTGGAGTCTAACATTTTGGTTCAATGACTTTATAGGATGCATATTTTTATAGATATTTCAGTGGATTGATTAAAATGGACCACCCTGTATAGTTTTTGCTGTTTTTGTTTCCTTTATGTTTAAATTTTTATTTTGTGTATCAATTCAAAATAAAATTTGTTATAATAAAACTTTTTTATTTTAATTTAAAGCCTGTGCTTAATTCATTGTACAAATATATTATAATACAAATAAAATGTTTTGATATATAAAATAATTAAAAAGTAGTTTTCATAATCATATTTTTTACAAATAGGTCCCAGGAATTCCCAGAAATAGAAAAAATTGTCTCAGAAACAGAAAAATAACCAAGACTCAGAAACCCTAGTATACACTGATTTTCAAAATTATCAATTATAAACAAAAAATAAGTAAAGTTTTGTTCTTTATTATGCTTTATCCACATTTACAACACAACCTATTTATCTCTGATATTCAGACAAATACAAAAATTTGCACTAAACCTCAACAACTTTTTCCTTTATTATTACTTAAAGCAATTTTTGATCTAACAAAAATAATTTGTATAATAAACAATAAATATCTGAAGTACAGTTTAATAAATAATTCTAGACATAATGAAAAATTTCCAGGTACAAGCAAATTATTAATTTGTAAATATGTAAAGTTATGTACACTTATTTGAAAATGCTATAAATATTGTACTTCATTAAGATTTTAATTTTTAACAAAAATATGAATCTTAACCGTTAAAGTTTATTTAACATTTTAAAACATCCACATCATTTTTTAAATTTTCTATTTGAAATAATTCGTTAAAAATAATTTTGAAATGCAATAGTTATAAAATAAATTTTAAAGAAAACTATAAAAAATGATTTTTCATTAGATAGAACAAAATAAAATAAAACTGTTACCTTTTCAAAAATATTTTTTTGTGGAATGTATTCAAGTATCACAATTCGACCAGAATCTGATCCAATCACGAGGTAATCTGAGGATGAAATAATCATAAATATTAATTTTCATAAAATATCAAAATTAATTTAATTATCATCATTATTAAAAATACACCAAATTATATCAAGTTCTTAATTAATACATAAATGAAATAATTTGAATTTAAGTGAGTGCTTACATTTAGAAAAACAAACTTCAAATATCATTCCAGTTTGTTTTTTTAAATTAATTAATTACTTAAATAATTAAAGTATCAATTGATCAATAGATGATAACATATTTTAATATTAAATTATTCCAATTATTAATTATTTTATTATAAAAATCAGGGCTGTGGAGTCGGAGTCATGGAGTTTTGGTCTTTTGGCCGGAGTCAGAGTCGTCAAAAAATCTGCCGACTCCGACTCCCTTTTTACTTACCAACTTGTTATTTATATGAAACAGAGTCAGAGTTGGAGTCAATAGATTTTTATGCGACTCCGCAGCCCTGATAAAAATAGTAATTCAGTAGAGTTTTGATAAATTATTAATAATTTACTTCCTTTAAGTGGTTGGTGTTTTCAAAAATTAATATAATTATTAATGAAAATTAATGATTATAGATTAAATTTTTGCAACATTGATGATAATTTATTCATTATACAGTAAAAACTACAAAAGGCAAAAACCTCCTTAAAATGAAAACTTATGAAAGGCAGAAATTTGCATTTATGCCAATATTAATGTCAAATTTTTTCCTACAAAATAACATTCCTAAGGCAAAACCTGTAAAATGTGAACAGAATGCTATATACATTATACAGCTGCTTTAATACATGTTAGTTAGAACCTGTAAGACAGAAATCTAAGTAAGTATTGAATTGAAAAGTTTAACAAAAATATTAGGTATAAAATCAACAAATCAACTCTACTGATATTTGTTTTGCTTGTGTCATAATGGATTTTATGGAACAGTTTAGTTAGATATCATAACTGACATTAGCAAGTTTGTAAATTATTTTAAAAAAAAATAATAATAATAAATATGATTAAGGTATAACAACACCTCAGCACAAACTCAGTTAATATGATTAACAAGAACCTAATTTAGAATGAGCAAATATTTATTGTGGCATTGTCACAGTGCCAGGCTGCAATTTTTAATCATATTTTTGATTTAAAATATACAAGGTGCGTTCCATAAGTAATGCGACTAATTTTTTCATGACATGACGATATGCCATAGCTAGTTCTAACTTGCTGTGCTAGGTGGTGTGAGGTGTTAGCTTCAAAACTCGCCCAGTCTTGTTTGCCTCCAAGCTGCCGGCATGTGAGGACGTTTGTTCCCGTGAACCCCGTTTTGAGTTAATGTAACACAGAATGATGTATCATTTTGTGGAGCAACATCACGCTATCAAATTTTACGTTAAACTTGGGAAGTCCGCCACCTAAACTTTTACATTAATTCAGCAGGCCTTTGGGAGTGATTGCTTCTCCAAATCACAAGTTTTTCAATGGCACAAGTTGTTCAAGGATGGCCGAGAGGAGGTCACAGACAAACCTTGCAGTGGATGTCCATCAACCTCCCGAATTGTCTTCTTTGACATCAGAGGCATTAACCACCATGAATTCGTATCTGTCAGGACCACTGTAAATGCAGCTTTCTAATTGAAAGTGTTCAAAAGACTGAAATCCTAGTCACGCGCTGCCGAAGGACATCAAGGACACACGGAAATTTCATCACGACAACGCACCAAGCCACAGCACCTTCACTGTCAACGATTTCCTAGCCAGGACCCACACACCATTGGTTCCACAGCCACCTTACAGTCCTGATCTGGCTCCTGCCAACTTTTTTTTTGTTTCCCCGCATGAAAGGGAAACATTGGGACACGATTTAAAACATCAAGGCTTATGTTACATCAGCTCTAAAGGACATTCCAGAGAAGGCCTTCCAGGCCTGGAAACACCGCCTTCACAACTGTATCGATGCAGGAGGGTGCTATTTCGAAGATTTTTGATTAATTGTAAAAATATGTTCAATAAATGATTTTTTATGAATTTGGTCGCATTACTTATGGAACGCACCTTGTATGCTCTCCACCTCAAATTAGTAGTGTCTTGCCTCTGTACATTTATCATACCTTTCCTGTTAGCAATAGACTCATGCCAGTCATCTAACTCCTTTCAGGAAAATTTTTGAATTGAAATAACCTGATTTCCAGTTTGCATCAGAAGTTTGTATATAGATAATCAAGCCTCCTGCCCCAAAACTTCCTATATCTGATCTCAGCTTTCATCTATCTAACTTCATTCTTGAGATTACGGAAGAGCAGGCAGACAGATGACAGTGGAAATTTATAGGTCTACAATTTTTTCAAATTGTACCCAACAACAAAGTAAAATTTGTTAAAAACTAGTAAACTTTAACAAGTAATATAAAATACATGCATTAAATCTTACAACAGATTTAGTATGACAAATAATAATCTTTTAGCTGTGAGCTACAATTCTGGACCAACTGAGAGCTGAGCTTACCATCAAAATCCTGAGCTGTAGCTCAGCTCAGCTCATTTGGTATAACTCTACTTAAGAGTACTGAATGGAATCTAAAAATGTATACTTTTAGTGAAACAACACACAGAAGTTTCATTTAAAACAAATATATATTTTTTTTCATTTGGCATAAAGAAGGTACAGAAAATAAAACATGCATTCATCTATATAATTATAGATGAATGTATGTTTTATTTTCTGTACCTTTTTCTTATTTATTTTGAGGTCAATTCAATGATTGTAGCAACCTACTATAGCTAGACTAAAAATTGATAAAAAGTACATACACATTTTGAACCAATAATTACTTTCCTGTACTACTGCCTAAAACAGAAAGCCTGCCTAATTTGGAAAGTTCCCATGTAATTTTAGCTTTCACAAGTTTTACTGTATATAAAAAAATAAACTGACAATTAAAATGCTAATTATGATAATTGAAAACTATGTTACAATAATGAAAAAAGAAAAATATACAAACATGTTTCATTTTTGTAATAATTTAGAGATATAAATACATCTTATTTTAAAATTATTCACCTTTAGAACCACCTGTCAATCTAAATGCCATCATCGATCTTATTACTCCAAATATTTCAACTGTAAGTAATGTATGTACTTTTCCTGTATTTGCATCTGGTCTTAAAAGTTCCAGAATTTTTCCTCTAGAAACAGCAATTTCTTGTTGTTTTGTACCAGAAAAATTACCATGAACAGCATGTGTTATGCCAGTAGCTCTCTGAAGCGTTAAATTATAGAGAAACATTTCTGTATTCCTAAATTCCAATTACGTCCAATACTGTAAAAAGAAATAAAAACAACTCATTAGAATATTAAATTTGATTTTATAATTAAATTAAATATTCTAATTAAGTAAAATTATATACGGAATATTAAAAAGTATAATTATTATATTTGAATATATATAAAAAGAGTTGTAATAATTTTTGATTAGCTAGATTCTACAAATTATCAAAATCTACTAGGCTATTATTGAGATAAGTACAGGTATCCCTTGTACAACACGATTTGAAAATTGAGAATATCCCTGTACAACACTACTTCTGGTTTCACTCTAACACAGTTTTGGAAATTCTCCATACAAAATTTCATAATTTTTAAATTTAAACTTCATTATTCAATATTTTTTTTATTCAAGTGAGCATGAGTGTCATCTCAAATTTGCCTGTGTATTTTACAATATTGAAATTTTCAAATTATTTTGTGCTTTTCGTCAGGTTTACCTTAATGAGAACTGATAAGACAAGGAAAAAAAAAATTGCACTAACTTTCCTATCAACCAGGTGTCATTGTTGTTGCTTTCAGACTTTAGTCCTTAAGATTGTAACTGTGTTTTTTTTTTTATAGATTAATCTTTGTAAAGTTTATTTAAACATTTTTTTAGATAAATAGATTTGTTAAATGTTTTTTAACTGTAGGTATTATTATTTATAGATGATTGCTTTGTTTGTAAAATGATAAACGAAATACAGTGGTGTCTTGTTACTTGAACAATTTGATATTCAAACACAAATTCTGGAAAAAAGTTGTTCGGTACTCAATTGAACAAACATAACCCACTAGAACAAATTTTTGATTAATAACATACAGTAATATCCCGCTTAATGCAAGGGATGTGTTCCTAGACAACAAAGCACTAAGCAAAACAGCATTAAACGAGGTCATTTTAACACAGAGTAAATAGGGATAGGGGAACATGCGACCAAAAATAAACAAATTTTACTTTAATTTTAAGTTATTTTTATATTAATTTGTATAATAATATATGTTAAATAACACAAACATATGCACACAGAAATGTAAAGTTCATTTTTTGTGATGAAGGTCCTGACTTTTCTGAAATTCTTGTTTTTTCGCAATAAAGTCATGAAGTTTCATTTGTTGCTTTTTTCTTTCCTTAAGCAAATGTCAGTAGCAGAAGATCGCATCCAAAATGCCTCGTTTTGCTCTTGCACTCCTTTCAAAATCTGAATCATTCGCTACAATTTGATCAATGATTTCGATTATCTTACCAAACTTTTAATAAAGAAATCTGTAGAGAAATTTTTTTGGTTTTTCGTTTTCAGAATCTCTATTTTCCAGTTCCACATGAATTTCATGTTCTGTCAGTTATTGAAGGTCATCATTGGTAAGGCTCTCACCAGAAACCTGCTGTAACTCCTCAATATCCTGCTTGTCTATATCTCCTAGTCCTGCTATATCGATTAGGATGAGTTTGGTCAACCTAACAATACAGCGATAGGCTCTTCTCGTTGAGAATTCTTGGATGCCTTCAGCCATAACTTCTTCTACACTTTGTGCATTTATCAGTTAATTCTTGCCAAGCAAAGCCGTTATTGCCTATGGCATCCATGATGCTATGTTTTTTTTTTTTTTTTTTCAAAATTGCACCAAACAAACATAGATTTAAAGAAAGTACACCTTTTTTGCCACCTTTTGCTAATTTGCTTGTGTTCGCAAATAATCATATTATATACAAATCAATAAAATGCATCAATAATTTAAATCAGTGTAAATTTTGAGCTTTTTTAAGTCTTCGAGCAGACCACGTTATATCAAATCAGTGTTAAGTGAGACAGCATTAAGCGGGGTCTTACTGTATTTTTATTTTGTCATCCATAAAATTTTTTACAATAAAAATAAAAATATGGAAATGTTGATACTCTGATCAAGATCAACAAAAAAAGCTGAGATCACGATGATACTTTGTAAAAAGAAAACATCCAGTCAGCAAATTTAAATTTCCGCCAGTGCTGTGGCACTGCAATCTTTAGCTATGTCTTGGGCTACTCAAATATTTAAATTTTTTGATACTAAATTAACTTCTGAAGTATAATTTTTTTTATTGTTTTTATATTTTTCAATATATTTATTTTGTTTGTACAAAATAAAAAAATAATTTTTAACGATACAATAGTCTTTGTTAGGCTTAACATCAACGAAAATTCAACGCAAAGCAACACGCAACGGAGAAATATTTCAACACGGGATAAATTAATATATTTTTTCGTACACAATCGGTTATCTGAAATATCGATTTTCCGAACAACCCCAGTCCCCAATTGATTCGGATAATCGATGCTCTACTGTATAGCACTTCTAGTTGTGATTGTTAATTAAGCATTGATTGGAAATAAACTATTAATTGCTTTAATAATTTGAAATATAATAAACTAGCAAATGAGCCCGGCATTGCTCAGGCAAACGATTTGGATGATTTGGTAAATATTGTACATTTGGAAATTAAGTTATTACTGTCAAAAACAAAAAATTGCATCTAAAATAGTACTGTAGAAGCAGTTCCTCAGGTTAAGCCTTAATCCTCTCCCTCTCCCCCGCGGTGGAGAATTTCCAAAAATTCCTTCTTAGTGTGCATTCTCATTGTGTACCCTAACTGTGTATCAAATTTCACCTCTAGGTTCAGCAGTTTGCTCTGGATGATGATGAAATAGATTATTTCATTATATATATATTTCATTGATGATATCATCTTGAAACAAAAGTATAAACTATGGATACTTTCAAGAATTTTATAATTATAAGAAACAAGAAAAATTTGGATTTAATTTATAATAAAAATAATAATTATTAACAACCCTTTGGGCATGTTGAGCATTGTGACATCACTTGGCACGTGTATATGCAGGATACATAATGAAATTAATGCAATTTTCATATTTTTACAGATATATAAGCCTGACTACAATTATATCTTTGATTTTTACACTTTCTGTATTATTTAATAGTATAAAATACTTGTGGGCAGTGCTGCTGTTTATAGGGTAATTTCAATCTCTCAGAGTAATGTTTAGGGTAGTCTTATATATAGGGTAAATCTAGGGTAAAACTGCTCTGTGATCTGATGCTATTACCCATAGCACCACAAGTTTTGCCAAAAAATCTAGGGTAAAACTGCTCTGTGATCTGATGCTATTACCCATAGCACCACAAGTTTTGCCAAAAAAAGTTTGTCTAAAACCATTCTGTTTTCCCCTATAACTAGAAGATTTAAAGATAGAATGGAAGCTAAAGAAATAAAGCAGATTGGTGTTAGGTAGATGGGTGTACACTGTATATTACACCAGAGTAGGATTTCACTTTTCTCAACCTTCATGCCATTAGACTGTATTGCACACTAAAGTACGGGTACAACTTTGTAAGCTACATTTGTGTAAGACATCGCATAGACATTCTTTAAAAACTGAAACAATTTGTAGACTAATGCATGCTCCAGTATTCAAAAGAAAATATTGTTTTATTTGAACCTTCAAACCAGTGTTAAAATGCAAACATGTATGTAAATAAATAATTTTAAAAACTGATCATTTATGTATTAAAGTACGTTTGAAATCAACTGAATGGCTTACAGTAATACCCCGACTTACGCGAACTCGGAGTTACGCGATTTTCAAATCTCGTCGATTCGTCTTTTGTTTGAGTGCCAAGCAACCCTTGATTACTCACTCCCCCACACTATTGTTCAGCTTACATGTTCGGATGTGTCGCGCGGAATCCTCACATAGCTATAATTTATTTTGTGTTATTTATTTCTGTGTTTGTTATATCTACGGAGACTGGAGAGACTTTACTATGTCATCCAAACGAAGTAGAACTAATTCTTCTGCATCAAACAAGAAAAGAAAAACTTTATCTTTGGAATGTAAAGTTAACATTGGGTACATTCGTAAAGTCGAACGAGTTAAACGAGAATGACGTCATCGTTATTCCTATTTCGTTAGACTTTTTGAATGATTCGTTACTAACACGTTTAACTCATTTGACTATGAACGTACCCTTATTAAAGACTTCGATACAAAAATGAAAATTTGTGAATTGGCAAAGAAGTTTGATCTACTGGAATTGTCGGTCAGAACAATTATAAAAGGCAAAGAAAAAATTCTCAAAGCTGTGAAAAATGCTCAATCTTTAAATTCAAGCATCATTCGTAAACGTCACAGTATTATCGCTGAGATGGAAACAATGTTAAAATTATGGCGTGATAATCAAGTAAATGTGAAAAATTGTAAAATAATATAGGCCTAATTTGTTATACATATGTATTATCTAAGATTTTATTAAATATTTTTTTCTAAATTATTGTTTTCTTTAGTCTCCGGCCCCAATTAAAAATTATTTGTATGTATTTATATGCGAAATTATATCCCGACTTATGTGAATTCGACTTACGCGATTAATGCTCGGTCCCACCTATCATGTAAGTTCGGGGTATTACTGTATTTAATTTTCTAAAATACACAACACACGTTGAAAGTGAATTAATTAAAACTAAGTTAAATAACTGTATTCATTTGACTTACAGATATATTTTATGATTATTTAAATACTAGGCGAGAGTTTTTTCTTTTGCCAAATTGGGATTACCAAACTAAAACATCAATTATCTCCATATCAGACATAAATTAATACATCTGATAAAGCCTAAAACTCCTAAGACATCTTAGTTATTAAGATTTTTTAAAAACAATGAATTAAGAATTATTCTGATTATTATTTCACGATAATAGTACACGAATCTGCATCATATAATTGTCTATTTTTTTATTTGAGCAAGAGCTCAAGCTTGGAGAGTTTTCTCAATTTAAGGTAATCTAGGGTAAAACGAAAGTGCTGTCAGGGTAGTTCCATCAGGAGCAAGTAGCAGCACTGCTTGTGGGTTTAAAAAAAAATGAGATTTTTATTTATATTTTTTGTAATTTATCTGTAAACGCAAAAAACTTATCAAATTTCAACTCAT